GCAACTGTATTACATCCGGTAAACGTCTCCAGACGTTCCCTGTCGTGACAACGGGTCTTTCGTCCTCAAGAATTGGGGCCTGATGGTTATTTCCGTCCTGGGTGCAACCTCCACTCCAAGTGGAGTGAGAGGTTGACACTGACACGCGAGATTAACGTGACGCCGTTAGCAATGACGAAATCAGTTGCATTATCACCGATCATACGACGCGTGCTGGGAGCGCAAGAAACTGCCCTGGCCCGAATCTACGGTCTCCCCAAAGTGCACAGAGATGACACTGCTTTCCGTCCAAGCGTGATACTAAAGGCACTTCAACCTACGGATTAGCCAAGTGGCAGTTTCGACGTCTGAGTTTTCTGACATATTATTTGGACACCACGATCAGCTAGTCAACACAGTGCTTGAAGAAACTTAAAGGGGAAGGTCTCCTGCCAAGCTGCGTCATGGTATCGTTTAATGTTTTTTCTTCATCCGCAGTACCTGGCAGTCGAAACCATCGAAGTAATCCTACGAGAAAAATTTAATAAAACGGAGAATCGCCGCGGAAACTTTCAAATCCTCCAACTCCCGAAGTTCTGTCTCAATACGTACTTTACGTTCGACGAAACAATCAATGAACAGGCGAATGGCACTGCAATGGTCTCGCCGATTTCAGGACTCATGCCAAGCTGGTCTCACAACGGCTGGAGTCGCTGGTTTAGCGACATCAAAGACCGAAATTTCGGACTCGGTATTTTGATGATACCTTCGACGTCATCGAACCGAATCAAGTTCAGGAATTCGAAGGACCTCCAACGCCGCCTTGGGAGATATATAATTTCCGCGTGGAGAAGGCACCAGGTTATACGGACGAAAGGCCCGCTGTCACGACAGGAAACGTCTGGAGACGTTTACCGGATGTAATACAGTTGCAAACAAAGCATCTGCGTCGAGTAAACTTGGAGATTAATCCGTACGCTGATGGCCGAGCACGTAGCAGCGGTGAGGAGGAAAGACGCTAGTTCTCAGGTCGCGGCTCATTCCACGGAACCTAGCCATATTTCCAAATTTAGAGAGTTCCTAATCTTTGTAAGGGCTGACAACCGCGTGAGGCGCAAGCAATGTGGATCATGGTTCTCAGGCCGGCAATCCACAAACAAGCGCAATGGCCTCCCGGTACCATATTCAGTGCTCAGACATGCTCTAAACAGGGGAATCAGTGACGTGGGGGAGGGGGAGGGGCGCGGGCGAGCAACAATCCCGGTGACAGCGGGCAAAGTTGCTGAGTCATCATCACGCCAACAATATGATACGCGTACCAAAGCGATTAACACATTAAAAATTTATCTCTATGATGCGTGTCGAAAATTTGTCTGCCGGCTTTTGCGCATAAAGATTTTAAGGAAAATCATAGGAGTTTGCTACAAGTATCTTATTTTCTTTATATGTGAAAGGCACCTCTGCTCAATTTATGGTTTACATGCTTTTAAACACACGGTTATTTTATTTTCTGCGGGAATTATTCGCGTGGCGACTGTCGAAATTATGAACTGTAGACTACACTCGCTGAAATGTAATCACTGGTTGATTTTTCGCTTAGATTTGCAATAAAGAATTTTTGAAGTCCAAACTCTCTCTAGCAGGACACAGGTTGCCATTACTAACAAAAAACAGCCTACCTTCTATTAACGTCAGACAAAACGAATTTGTCCCACAAATATCTCTGTGTTTCCTGAATAGAATTAACTTAGTGTGGAAAATATTGCCCGTATTTTACTAGCTTCTGCTCGAAAAAAATAGATCGGAGTTGAATTTCGTTTCTATCAGTCAAATAAAATAATATGCTAGGTAACATGAGACTGTTGTTTATCACATCTTACTCGAGTCCCCAGCAAACTATAAAACAATTCTAAAGCAAATTCATATGTGTCATGAGTATCCTAAGATAAATTTTTCTATGGCGCCAGAAGAATATTGTGCTGTCTATATTTTATGTACCTTTTCTCGCAAGCAGTTTTTAGGACATGCGATATGTACGTTAAACGGGGTTTTATGCGACCATTACAATGAATCTATTTAATGGAATTAAACAACCGTGATACTCCTTTTCCTTGCACAGTAACTGTCAACTGAATAAGAAATGGGCAATATTCACTCTTCCCAAAAAGTGTGATTGTGCTTTTAAAAACAGTGTTAAGTCGTAAATAGGGAAACTTAGTGAACAACCAATTGTTTCCTCGTTGATGCTGTCACCGCATTTGGAATGACTAACTTTTTGCTTTTTTAAAAGTATCCCAGCACCTCACTTATACTAGCGAGTACGTAAAAGTAACTAACATACTATAGATGTAGCCTGCTCAATAGTATGAAGGTAAGTCAGCATTCGTCATTCGAATACGTTTTTCTGTATTAAAGCAACAAAAAATAAACCTACCGAGACAATGGGACGCCTGAAATGCAGGGTGATTGAGCTTTAGGACTAACTGCGGGTTTTTTAAACTTTCGATCCCGTAGCACATGTAATTTTAAGGGGGAATCAAAATAGAGGACGATCCTAGGAGTTTTAACTGATCAGACATTGGCCTTAAAACTTTCAGGGAATATAATCTACGAGCGTCTAATAAGTATTTTAATTAACTACCTTGATTCCAGGGAAGGTGCTGTAATAGATTTTGATCCACTTTTCAATTTGGTTTTCTTAAAGGCCTCGAATATTTAATTTGGGACCTGTTCTAAGCAGAAGCCTCGTTAGCTATCTTGCATACTGACTGGTGTCAAATCCCCATTCCAAATTTTTAGTGGTGGTTTAGGCACGTCATATTATTTACCCAGTCTGGATTATGTTTGCTTTCAGCAAGTAGTTCTCGGTGCAGTAAGCTCAACAAACTCCATAAAATCAATTATGTTAAGCATAACATACCACTCTCCTAACTGCATTTCATTGTAACAGACCTATAAATGACGTCTCGAACAAATATTTCGTGATGCCTGACGTGTCAGTTTGTCTCTTCCCTGAAGAACAAATTAATCTGACTCCTGAACTTATTCTTCCGGAACGCTGGCATTGGGCAGGTTGATAATGCCTTACATCATGAACTTGGTGACAATGATAAATGTGCTGTCGACACAACGGCCTTAAAATACATTTTCATTCTTAACGACAGTCGTTTCTTCAAACTCCTCTATGACAATTTTATCTATTACTCATTTCAGAGGTGCGAGCAGTAATTTGTGTTAATAGATACACCCTTGCGCAATCAGTTCCCGACTATGTGAAGTAAGGATTCCAAGCATTTTTTTGCAAAACGTTGTGTACGAAATTCATGCATGAGAAACAAAAAAATTTCATCCATATCGGATAGGGGGACTTTCGATACCTAAAGAGGTCTGAAAGACCGATTAAAATAAGTTGCACAAACATCACAAGTTAATTGCCTGCCACCTTTCCATTTTGTTGTTGTGGTGTTTGACATTGTGCTTGTTTATGACTTTAAGATTCAAAGGTATGCATTTGTTTCTGAAAACAAGCCTAGGTGTAGCGTAACGGAAGGACTTAATTGGCCATGTTATGTCCACTTCTTTTTGACAGTAAAAAGAGTATTATGACAGGTCCACTTATAAGTTTTAATTTCCTACTCAGGTCTGACTAAACAGCTTTTGCTCATGAGCTAACTTAAGTAGAAAGCTGTATTTTACAGAAAACCTCTAATTTCCTCTTATGATTATATTCCACATCACAGGGTCCAATAAAAAAACAGTAGTCAGCCCTGTCGTTACGCGCCTCCTAAAGATAATTACCCAGTTTTTGTTAAGTTGTTTGTTAAAAAGTGAAGTCTTATTTGTTCTTTTTAATAAGATGCAAACTGGAGCACCACAGTAGAGAGGTACTGCCCGTGTTTTTGCCGTGCAATCATCTGTTATATTTCGCTTATGAAAGGCAAGAAAATGTGGACGTGCATGGTTCGAAAACACGTCAGTCAAGAGAAGAAATAACTAGTAAACATTATGAAGGTAGCTGAAGCTGAGAAGTATCAGTGAATTGCCCGGATAACATATGGGAATTTTTTAACCTGACCAATACCTAGTTGGCAATTTGACGACTGTATTCACACTTAAAACTGCACACAATTAAAACACACACTTAAAACTTAAAACTTTGCAGTATTCACACTTAAAACTGCTGATGTGGTAAATAGACATCATTCCTCCTGCTGTGACGGTGTGTTTTAGAACAAAAATTGCGTGACTTTAAAGGCAGAATTGCTTATCGGAAGCAGTCCGTTTACCGACGCCATGCATAATCTGCAGGACACAAACAAAAAGTTAATTTTAAAAAGTGCCTAGGCAATTTTCTTAAAGTCGGATCGCTTGCACCTTTGGCCGATCTTAAGAAAGCATATGCAAGTAGTCTAATTTGCAAATTACACGAAGCGTATGGAGCTATCAACATTTGCCTGAACAGTCAGTTTTTTCGATAATGTGATGTGGCAATACATTTCGTCTAAGATTAGAATTTTTACAAGGCGCGTTGCATGTAAAAAAATGTTTACTCCATCAACCAAAAAACACTACAGCAGTTTTATGTTGAATTAAAATTTGCCACGAATTTGGACAAAGGCCTGACTTCTGACTCACGAAAAATCTGTAAAATTGGGATGGAATAAAAACCTATTGCAACATCCAGGCCATGTTGTAAGTTATTAGTCTGGAAATAGGAAGGATATTTTGTCGGTCTGCATCTTGCGTTCTTTGCCTCGCACGTTTGTCGACCGGCGCTGCCTACAAATGCGGTAATCATAAACCAATCAGCTGGCAGAGAGCACTGATTGGCGGGAGTGTCGTCGACCCAATGGACGGCAGTTATGATTTTTCAACAACTTATCTGGCTTGCCTGCTTCCCATAAGATAGGTCGTTCATCTGAAATGACGACTGCTCCTGAGGCAAACACAAGGCGTTTGGACTTCTGTCGTTTTCGAATAGCTGTAGACACTGAAATTATGGAGCTAGATTGATAGACAGCATGCCCCAACGAAAGGGTCTTTTAGCACCACAGAACACATTTCTTGATACGATCGCCACGCGCTTCGACGGAACCCGTGAGTTTTTATTTTTTATCCCCATCAGAATAAGACCATTCGCTTTGCCTTATGAAGGCAAAACTCTGCTTTATAGTTCCACTAACAACATGTGCAATAAGACAAACAATTTGTTTTCATTCGGCAAATACTGTAGATATTATTCAGTTGGAGAAAAAAACAGACATAGGTGTGAGCAACATGGAAATCTTTATTTTGTAACTGCTTCCATTTTAAACATACATGTGGGTCTAAATCTGCTCTCCTAATGCTCTGCGGCTAACTGCCCAAACCGTTTTTGCTTTACGTAAAAAATATTTAGATAATTTCACAAATTGGTTTTGAACTGCTAATAGCTAATAAGTCAACTGTTTATCAACAGCAGGTGTGTGCGGATATACTAAAAAGGACTTGACTAATTTAGCAGTTGTGTACCCATCGCAAAATATTGTGCTATTCTTCCCAGCTGTTTAGTAGTTGTATTCAACTCATTCATGAGCCACATCTCAGTTATTTGGTCTCATTGAACGCACATTTTAGACATGAAATTTAATTAAGACCCAGCCACGAAGAACGGAGTTTCAAATTTAAAATACATATGCAAAATATGAGAATTGATTGCCGACGGTATATGACTACAACTGAAATGGTTAGTACAAGATTAACCAATGTCCATATCAGCGTGACATTTTGTTTACTGAAAGTATCGAAATGCAGGGTGCTTTTAGTCTTTATATAATCCTAAACCTGCTGTCCCTGTATTGAACATGGCATAGGCATAAGGCTGATGGCAAGTAAAACTTAACTACTTAACTTAAATTTTCAAGTATAGACATGTATATACGTTGCCACCTTTTCAGTGGATAATTCCAACACATTTTTGACCTTTTGCCAGGTCATAAACATTATTCATTCCAGCACTTTTTACGCGCGCTTTAAGGCAAAAATGATTTAATTTGCAAAGAAAATGAAAGCCCAATTACTGGGACGATTTAACACCAATTAGTATTAAGAGGCGAACTGATTGTTCTGCAAAATGCGCAGCATGTATAAACCTAAAGCATTTGGACTATAATATAATCATGAATGACAAAAGCTAACGCTGTTTGGTGCAAATCGGAGATGAGGTAATTTACTGCATTCAGTGAATAAAAGAAGGAGTTACGCCTTGTTTAATTTACGATGAAATTAATGCGCAAACTTGGAACAGATCCCACGGAACAGACCTTTTCAGGCACGGTCCGAAATTTGTTATGAACATTTGAGCTGAAATCCGTCAGCTACTGCGGAATAACCGCGCAATATTCTCAAACCGCCAACAGGCAGCTAGTAGCATAAAATTTTGCATTGGTTTACCGTATTGACAACATAGATACCAGCGAGCACCTCTGTTGGCAGTACTGAGAATAATTACACAAGAGAGGGTTTTGCAAGCAGCTAAAATGCTGGTGGCTATGCTAAATGCCTGCTACTTAAATTGTTTTCTTTATGGTAGATCCGTAAACATGTTTTATAAACGCCCGACGGACTTTTTCTGTCCGAGACAGAAAAATATTTACTATACTGAACCGTGAATTAACATAGGTGGCTTATTTGCCTCCATCTTAAATGTCATATATACAGATGAATGTCACAGACACTTCATCACCTTCTCAAGACACCTTCCAGAATCATAAAAAAGCATTTCGTATTAGATACAAAGACTATGTCTTACTTAACTTGACAAAGAACTGACAAATCGGGATGACAGAATAACCCTTTGCTACCTTCAGCAGAACTTTAGGGAGTCACGCTTATGATAACAAATGCAATATCAGTTGGCATAATAAGACGATCTGAATTTATTCAACAGTATAACAGTTCAATCGTCGTTGCCTGCGGTGTCTACCCTGCGCTTCACAGCAAAGTGAGTGCAGCGGCAATGATTTGCGCATGAATTAGTTCATAACGAAAGATGACTTACGCTGCATTCATTGCATCCCCTTCTCCCTCCCAAACTGGGTCTGGCGTCAAAACAGAGTCAAAAAGACAGGAGACGGGGAGGGCAAGGGTTGGTCCGAGTTTTTATGGATTACGTGGAAGAAAAGGTTTCATCAGAATTAAACATGACAACATTATACAGGAGGTACGTGGATGATATATTCACGATTGTTGACAACAAGGAAGATGCCTCCGACCTACCTTGCCTGGTGAATAATCTGCATCCTAAAATCAAATTTACGATGGAAATGGAGCAGTTTAACAAATTACCCTTCCTGGACGTCCTCATGTTTAGAGAGGATGATGGTTCAATAAGAAGCTCCGTCTTCCACAAGATTACGTGGAAAGGGCAATATTTACTTTTTAAAAGCTTTGCGCCAATACAATGGAAACGTAACCTAGTACATACTCTTTTTCAAAGAGCGAGAAATATTTGCTCCGGGGAGACCATAGATACAGAAACTGCCCGAATCAAAGAAGCCATACTTAATCGCGGTTATCCTGCACGCTTCATTCAGAAGTACAGTAACCATTTACGGCAAAAGTTGACGGAACAGTCCGTTCCGAAGAAGCCCGTTATAATATGTCTACCTTTTAAGGGTGACAACGTCTCAAACACAATCAAGCGACGCTTGCGTTGCACTCTAGAAAGAACGTACAACGCAGCAGAGCTTATCTTCATCAGTTCCACAAAAAAGCCTTCCAATTAACCGGGCAAAGGATACCTTGCCAATGCACGCCACCCCAAATTGTGTGTATGAATTCACATGCACTTGCGGATGCAAGTACATTGGGCGAACGCAAAGGAAATTGGCAACCACGGCCGCTGAGCATTTGCCTAATTGGCTTTTCAAACAGGAAACCACAACCCCCCGTTCGTCTATAACGAAACACCTGTTAGATAGCAGTCATGTTGTCGACCTTAAAGCATCTTTTCGAGTACTTGTCCGAGCGCATACAACTCGAACCTTGCGTTATTTGGAAGTAGCTTACATACGGAGGGAGAAACCAGACCTGCGTAAGCAGTTAGATTACGTGATCAATCTCCAATTGTCCTGGTAATCTCACTCCTCTAGTTTGCCCTGACTGTGATTTGTTGTTAACATTTCCTCTCCCTCTTTCCTATATGATGCTTATGTGGACGTCTGATCTGATTATTCATTGCCTTGAACCTTGACCTTGCTCTTATGCACTGCCATTCTGTACAAATTCATACTGCTATGCGCTTTCATTCGTTACCTATGTTATGCGGAGACGAGCTGCAGTTGAAAAGCCGTCACGAAAGTTAATGGCCCCAATAAATTTTGCCGTACATGCTTGTTTTCAGTAACATTAAAGACAATGATATTTGTCCGTAGATTCATAGCAAACGTAAAACTCATTTGTTGCGGCGTTGAACTCTCAGTTGCTTATGAGACAAGAAAAAATTCGGTGCAGTTCACAAAAGCAAACTTATACAAGCCTGTGAGGTTTTTTTTTATCTTAGGTTCTTTCCTACCTGCAAAAGGAAAAAGACGTAGGAATTTTACGTCGGGCCACAACAGTGATAAACTTTTGATGGTCGAGGGGGATGCTTTAATTAAGAATAGACATGATCGATAGAAAGAATGGCTCTAAATTCCACCTTCTGTCAAAAAGGAGATTTAAGATGCAATCTTGCCGAAAACTGCAAAAACTGCATAACATTAAGGCGCGTACAGAGACCGCCTACCTCATGAGGCGTCCATCTTAACTTTAAAATGTTTAGAGATTAAAAGACGCTACATAAGTGCAAACAAATCTCAAAAGCAGAATGCAGACTTTTGGAAAACCTTATTTTCGATTGCCAAACCCAGTAAAAAGCGGTAGAATCTACTACGTGAATTATTGAAGCCGTGTTTTCCCGGGATAAATTTGAACAAGGCGAAGGCGACAAAGCAGGCAGAATTTAATGACGTCATAAATTTCGAGACCTCTCATTCAGCTGCACACGGTCATTGCATAGTTATATTACAAGGCAAAACTGTTCAATCAACGATCGACCTAGAGAGCTAAAACGTGATAGGTAACCTGAAACATGGGTCTAGTATGCGGGTGCATATGGTGAGGGAGGGGGGGGAGGGGGAGAGAAGTCATCCAAGTATGAGAGAACTGGTGCGGCGTGATTTGGAGTGCAACGTGCGGGGAGCATTCAGTCATGCCGGGAGAGGGGTGGGGGGCGGGTGGGGGGCAAAATGAGAGGGCGGACATGGGAACAGGGTTTCGCCCATAATCGATAATTACCATGGCAGTGCTAGGTTTATCACATGGTCCAGCTGCTTACAGAGTTCTGGTTTCCTCCTCCGTATTGCAGCGGCCTCTGCAAAGCGCAAGAGACGCCCAGTCGTCGTCCGAAACAGGACCTTGAATGCAACCATTTGGTCCACCGTATGGCCCGTGTCCAATAGGTGCTTTGTGATTGAGCTCCTGGGTACCTTATTTTCCGCCTTAAGCAGCCACTTCGGCATGTGTTCAGCTGACCGAGCTGCCAATTGCCTTTGCGTGCGCCCGATGTACTTGCATCCGCCACTACATGTAAACTCATAAATACAGTTTGATGTGGCGTGCATAGGCAAAATGTCTTTAGCTGGTCTAACTGGGATGGCGGTTGTGGTACTTATGAACAACAATTTAGAGGCGGCATACGTACTTTCGATAGTGCACCTAAGTCGTCGCTTGATCACGTTTGACACATTATCACCCTTGAAGGGGAGGACGGTGGTCACGGACTTTTTAGGTACAGATATTTCTTCAGGAGTTTCTTGTCTGGGATGGAGATATTTATCGATGAATTTCTCCGGATACCCGTTTGCAAGGAAAACGTTTTTTAGGAAAGTAAGCTCGCCATCGATCGTATCTGAGGAGCAGATTCTGGTGGCTCTATTGAACAGGCACAAAACCAAGTTCTGTTTTCTCTGAATTGGAACGAAACTGAGGAAGTGCATTTATTGTCCTTTCCAGGTGGGTTTTCGATAGATGGATCTCTGAATAGAGCCATCTGCTCGCCTACGTATCCAGGAAAGGCAGTGTGTCATTCTTCTCATGCTCGATCGTAAATTTGATCTTTGCATGTGCTTTGTTCAGAGCCTTGAGCAGCAGTTCTCCGTCGCCTGGGTTTTTGACTATAGCGAAAATGTCATCCACATATCGCCCATAGAATGAGGCTCGTTGTAAGTTCCGAGCTAGTTTTCGCTCTAGATTAGACAAAAAAGGCCGCTAGGACTGGCTCCAATGGACTGCCCATAGCTACACCGTCGATCTGTCGATACAGCCGCCCGTTGAACAAGAACTGCACATTCTTTGTGCATATCTGTAGTAGTTCCCGTAGTTGCTCTGGTGGTAGGTGTGTTTCACCCGCATGCTCACAAATTATGTCAATTGTTTCATCCAGTGGCACGTTTGTAAACAGGCTCTGCACGTCAAGCGAGATCACGTGTTTATTCAGTAGATGCAATGACCGTGTGCAGCTGAATGAGAGGTCTCGAAATTTATGACGTCATTAAATTCTGCCTGCTTTGTCGCCTTCGCCTTGTTCATACTTGAATTATATAAACTTTTCGACTTAAATTTAATCCATTATATATAAAATATATGTGACAGGAACATGCATAAAGTTGATTTTCCATGTACCAGTTTTGTAGCGCATTATGCATTCTTTAATCTTTTACTTGAGGAAAGGATATAATTAGGTTCTAGAAAATTGCTCCATTTTTCGAATAATTTCGCACCTGAACTGCAGCTTTCTACGCAGTTTCCGTATGGCACGCTATAAACATCTGATATAAGTAAAATTATACATCCCTCAACATTACTGAAAAGACTTCATATACAGTTTTGAAATGTATTCAACGGACGGGTTTCATGTTGCAGAGCTTTTAAGCAACAGTAAAAATCGTACAGATGCGAAACAAGCTGAATGGAAATTTTGTCATTCAAATATCTCACTTTAGGAAACTTCTAAAAACGCGAAAGCACGTCTTTCTCCAAGCTAAAAATTTAAATGAGATGTAGCCTGATATCGAATATGTATGTTTAGCATGCAATATATGTATATCCATAGGGACATATTTTGAAGGCGCAGTCAGTAAACACCATTACTTGTGCCAGCGAACGATGATAATTTAGTCCCGGCCAAGCAGATACAATTTCTGTCGATGGTGTCAAAAGCCCATAAGTGGTTTGCAGGAATAAAAATTCAAAATCAATGAGAAAAGTCTGTTGACATACTAGCAAAAGGCCATCAGCGCGATGACGAATCACGGTTCCAACTGGATTCGTTATGTATGGACAGACTTTTTACGGGTGATGCCCTAAATAAACTGTTCCAACAAATATAATATTAAGGGTCTAACAGCTAACCTTGTCTGGAAAAAAGAGCTATTAGGTGTATTGGGTGTATGCATGATAAAAAATGCAAAAAAGTAGACAACAATTACCAGTAATCGGACTCAACCATACAGTATGCATCAAGGCCAATACCCGCCCGTCAAGGTTTCACTAACTAGACTAGTTTATTTAGGCCTAATCATGTGACACATAAAGTAAGCGTTAAGAATCCACGAAGTATTGACTGTAATAAATAACTGTTCTAAAAAAGACGCATTGATTTGAATGATATATTCAGCAATGATAATTATAGGATATTATCAAGTGTTCATTTGCTAATAGTGGGGTGCTAGTTTTAAAGAAGACACGCTAACATTAGCGGATGTGGATAATACTCTAACAAAATAACTAAATAAGTAGCGCGTGCGTTTTCTTTGAATGTCATAGCACTCATATGTCCTTACGAAGTTCCCAAATTCCGGTAACTGTATACCTATTTTCTAAAAAACAGCCTTCTCTACATGCCTAATAACAATTAGAGTTTTAGCCCAAAAATTTTGCAATTCAAGAAACATCCGAAACGTTTACGTTAGTATTATTATTGTCATCGATATAGCATATACGTAGACATCTGTGCGAGGTAATTAAAATGTGTAATTTGCGGCACATGTCATATTTTACTACATGCTAGAAGTGTGTGCTTAGGTAGAAAAGGGAGAATTGAACCGGCTTCGAGTCTTTGGGCAGCGAGCCTTTAGAAACGTTGAAACGGGTTTTGATCTTTCAAATAAGCTAAAAACAGCAGCCGTTGTAAGATAAAACATTTTACCATTCAGAATGAAGTTTGTCATGAATAAACTAACACGCTGAATGCAGATTGCGCAATGATCACAAGGGTTTTTTGAGAATTGTTATTTACCCTCAAGTGCCCAGATGAGCGAAAAAGACAGTACTTAAACGGAAAATTTACATGTGCAATAGGCAGTTGAAGTAGAAAAAACAATCAAATACCTAGGTTCCAAAGCTAGCAACTTTTTCTGGGCCGGTATGCAATGATAATAACGCAACAACTCGTGCATATTTCAAGTGCTGCTGATGAAATTCCTTCATCAAGTTTTTTATTTGTGATTAAATTGATGAAACGCCTATTTTCCCTTTCTTGTAATTGTAGATAGCAACTTCGTTCTTGGAAACGCTCAAGTCAAGGAATTTCCCATCGTCTACTGTTCGGATGGGTTCGTTGAGCTTACAGGCTTTAATCGATCACAAATAATGTCGCGTTCCTGCAACTGCTCCTTCATCTGGGGCGCAAAGACGGCAGAATCTGCAAAAGATAAAATTTGGTCTGCACTTAATGGCCATACAGAACTGAAGATCGAAGTGACATTCCATAAAAAGAGTGGTTAGTGCAGTCATCTTTAGATTAGTGTTTAGTTTGGTTCAGATGACAGGGGTTTTGCTTTCTTTATCATAAATAATTTGTGAACATTATGAGAGAGTCAAGCATATTTTGATTTACCCTGCCAAAATGACTTAGTTCTTTCAGAGAACCGTTGGTTTATTTATATTTGCTAAATGATACAAGACTAAAAGTTATGCTCACATTGGTTAACGAAAGCATTCTAGTAGGTATCGACGTCCCCGCTCCAGGTTACTTTGTCTCATTACATTTGTGTGAAGACACGTCGTACATTTGTCTGGAGTGTTCCTGTCACTCATATAAGGTGCAGCCATTGCTACGAGTTTTCAGTCTATTTTTAAGACTCATGGGCTCACATTTGATAGAGTTCACTCCCGAACTGTACATATTTAGGTAAAGGTGCTGTAAGGTTTTAATTCAGTCTTACAAATGTAGTAAATGTTAGCCTACTGTGGACACAAGGATAATGTACATTTCAATAGCGAAAGCAGAAAATTAGCCTCAGGTTATCGACTAATCTAAGGAAAAGTATAAGAAACGTGTGGTTAGGTCATTTTCAACAGACACAAAATTATGGACATTAATTAAGGACATTTTTTATGATATCCGCACTAACCAGTAAAAAACGGTAGACATCGCTGCACACGCTATTTAAAATAAAGACTGATTCTGGAATGCCAGAATTTAAACTGCGTACTCACATAAGTTGTCTCTTGTTATTGTAGGTTTGGGATTTTTCTGTTTGCTGGATATTGTGCCAATTAAAAACGAAAAGGGACAGGTCGTTCTCTTTCTCGTCTCCCACAAGGACTTGACCCAGGAAAAAAGAAGTAAGAACAATACACCTAATAAACATGTATTACATCATACGTTATTTGAATATTTCGTTTGTTTTTCATTGGCTTGACTGCATAATGCATCGTAGTGCCTACCTTATTTTTACCTGTAAGTTCTTGCATTTTGCAAAGAATCCGAAAATGATGAATTATGGAAGTATAACATTAGGAAATAGTTTTTCTAGATGTATCACAAATTCTTCTTAAAATTGAGTAAATCCACAAATAGAGGAGAAAATATGTATTTTAAAAACGGTACTTTTAAGTATAAATACGAGTCAAAGTGGATTCGGTCTACATTGCGAATCGTCATGAATGCAAAGAATTTATAATTTTATCGATAGAAGTAATTAATCGACGGCGTGGTAGTTTGTGCGTGAACGATTTATGCAAAATGTAAGCGCGATAGTGTACAGGTTAGTATGCCATTCCGAAGTTGAATCGTTCTGAAATTTCCGAGTACAACATCACTGCACACACACGCACTGATGATTCACCATGCAAACGCAGTCAGAGCAATCACGAGACATTAGCCAGAACCCACGTTTCTATGGATTTTCCAAAGTTTCCTGCATAAAAGAAGGTTAGCAAATGTAAACGTTCGAACTAATGACAACAAGCTTAGATAATTCCGCAATTTAATACACATTATGACCAGCGATTCTGTTTTTGCTCTCGAACATGATGCCTGGCATAACGTGCTGAGTATGTTTGCCTCAAAAGACAATGGATCACACAAATGTTTCCCAACGGATGGATAATTGTAGCACAGATTTAGTGCGGCAAACGCATTGCGGGACGAACGATATAAATGTTCACACTTTACTGCACTCAAGTAGTCTCTGATGATGAACTCTAGTTCGAGTTCGAAAGCTCAGGCAAATAAACCTACTATCCCAGTTATCGTGCCTTCGCCTTCTTTTAAACAAGAACCTGGGATGCGCATATTCTTTTCCATTCGTGATAATTTGGTCTGTTGTCCACGTGAGAAGCAAAGCCACTGATTAAAGTGTATGTCGAGTTTATTTCCCTGTCGCGTGTGGGACACTTAAAGCATTCACGCATATCATTGTCTGTCACCATCATATGCTTTTGATCTTACGATTTGAATCTGGAAGTGCTGAGATACCATTCTTGAGGAATGCCTTGGTTCACGTCATTTACTCTAATCGCCAGTCTGTCTGCCTAGATCAGACCTTATTCCCAGTCAACAAAATCGATTTGTTATTCATTATATCTGGCAAAGAATAGAAGACCGCTATTTTGTCGCAAATAGATACAGTCGTATTTTAGCCTCTTTACGTTTTGGTTCTATGAACATAGTCGTCCGGTGTTTTGTGGTCTATTTTCCACGGTACTGTAGTATATCACTGTGGTTGTAATTGACAGGTGTTTTAGCTATCATTTAAAGGAAATTATGTGAAGTACTGTGCTTCTACTTCTTTGCTTAATCTAGACGACAAAGATAGTGTTGTATGTGAAATATTTTCCGATCAATTATGGCTGATTTCCCATCAAATTGAATGACACCTTAGTATTTCTTGTTCTGCCTCTGACTTACTGTACGCGATTATTGAACCTTCATGCTCGAATGCTGATTTTCTAGACTGACGAGCGGCATGATAGACAATAGGGGAATGGAACCGACGGTTTTTACTTCGTAAATTTCGATGTTTCACATTATACCATGTCGGCATAATTTGCCGACGCTTTCTATAAATTTCAAATGAAGACTCTTCGCTGTTTTCCATATTTTGAAAATAGGTAAAAGATCAGTTTACCGGTAGCTAGTGTGATATAGAAAATGGTCCGAGAGTCGTTATGTGCGTGAGAATTGCAAGCATCATTAAATTTCCGCAATGGAACTCTGAGCAAGTTTTGATCGAAGCCCATGAATTTCAGTAGTTCAGCGTCATTAATCTGAAAAAGCGAAAAAAACATTTCCACAAGGTGCAAATATTTCTTATTTTACCACTGCACAGTTGCCTTTACCTTATACGTGTCAGAGCATGTGGAAAAATACTCACGACAAGTGCTGGAAAGGTTCTTCGAAATACTCCTAAGTTCTAGTAGGAATAGGTTTGGTAGTAGATGCAAACAAAGGCAATAGACACCTGACCTATGGTTTCTTTTTTAAACAAACAAGGAATCTATATGCGCCTTTTTCGGCTCCATTTTTGGTCTTGTACATATAAGTTAGCGCACGATTACTCGGCTGATTTCAGCCCCTAATTTGCAGACCAGTTTGATTTTAATTTAGCATGATATTTGTGCTTGTACGTATCGAAATGTCACTGGCTTTCGCAGCAGTATTTCTGCGCGTACATGCGGGCGTAAATTAAAGCAGGGTTTAAAATCTATGGCAAAAGTTTTGGTACGAAACTTGCAAACGGGTATATAAGTGTATCGTCAGTTACACAGTGGAATAGGAGTGCCAAAAGATTATAATTGACGCGTAAATTTAGTGCTCCACGAGGCGAATGATAAAAACGTTTGACACTCGGAGGAGGAAGCATGAGAATATCAAAACGACTACAGTGCCCAGCTTACAACCGGCCTGGCTTTGTTTCATGAATTGTGTAGTTTGACTCATGGTTAAATTCTTATTCAAGACTAAATATTTATTCAAAATAAAAGGCAAATTACAAGGGTTTTAGATTTGGCTCAGTTGTATTTGCCGCTGGGTTATCTTATTGAATGTCTGTGTTTAAAGAGCCACCAGGAGACTTCTCGTGACTTCTGTCTTCTCAGGCTGCATGTTCTAGTGTATTAGCACGCAGGTAAACAGAGACAATAAAATTTTTTAACAATTAATTTTCCTAACGTATGCAGACAGCACATGCATCGATTCCTGAAGACCGGATACATCTCCATTCTGGTATGTCTTTTGGTTGGAACCCCCTCACGCAAAGTAGGTAATAGTAATTGCACATTTCTTTAAGGCTGGCTGATGCAGTATCCTTAATTCAGTCGACTTTTGACAAACAAATCAATTTTATCTATGCGAAAACTCATATGAACATTCGGCAATTGTCCTAGCCCCCTTACAGACGGGTTTCAATGTCTGATAGGCGGACTTATAAGATTACTGCAAAAGGATTCTACAATTCCATGTTTCATCGGCGAATAAAGTGAATAAATAATGCATGACTTGATTGTCTTCTCAGTTTAATTCCAAAATAAACGGCAAGCATTTTTGGTGGACACCCACGTGCCATCTTAATAGCGCTCTTTATACTGAGTTGTTACCTATTCACGTTAGATCAATTTTTTGCACAAAACACAATATCTAAGTTTCGGGCTGTCGCCTAAAACAGCAAAGCAGGTTTTGCTGTGATTTCAGTCGCGCGGAAATAATCTGCTCTTAGCCATTCCGGACTAGCTACAGACTATTGATCTTGGTCGGCGTGTCAGTCAACTTGCTAAGCAGACGAGATCGATGGAAAACATATTTGGGGGATAAAGTTCTTAGTCCTCTTGCCTCTTAAAAATCTGAGTTTGGTGTTTGTGGTTTTACGCACCATACAGCACAGCAACATTTTACTGCTCGTTTCAACTGACTATTATTTAATATGCTGCTTTGCCGTTAAAAGGGACAATAAGAGCACTTTTTATAGAAAGACAGTCAATACCACCTGATTATTCTCTCCAATAATAACTGGTTGCTGCTTGTATAAAAATACAGGTCTTGTGAATGAAGCTAACAATAATTATTGCCTCGAACACTAGGGAACTTAAGTACTTTAGAGCATCTTTCTTGTTTGAGACATTCTGAACCTCTTTTCCCAACACTCGCTTTCAGTCACGTCCGCAAAATTATGATTTTCAAATACAATTCACACATGCAACACTGCTTAATTTAATTTGGCAACGTCAAAACCGCAGTTAATATCTTCCAAAGGAACTTATAGCCCAAACGTTCCAGGCGTTAGGAGAGGGCCGAATCAGACACGAGACAACAATGCGACACAATGTTAAGGTGGTAACTCCATCAGCAGACAGCTGGATCTCCCTGTGGCTGACAAACACTTGCGTTACTTCGCTCACAAAGATAAGGACAAGAGAATAACAAAAAAATTTAAGAAAACCGAGTAGACACAGCCCGGTGAGGAGCCCAGACGAAGGGTGGGAAGAGGTTCAACCACTGTCTATCAAGGTGACTCTACGTAACGCAAGAGACCGTCGAGCTCCCCAAATCTCTGTCAAAATGCATGAGCAGTGGAATAATAAAAAACGATCAGTTTAAGACCGACAAGCTCGACCAGTCATTTGAAATTCTGTTCGAGTTTCTACATTAAGCGCCTTGTCTATTAGGAGCTGAGTGAGTTCCCTGGAAATCCGGCAAACCGATGGCTCTGTTTCGTTGGTCTCCTTCCCTCTCTCTGAGTATGCATATATAGTATACGTATGAATTGCGACGTATGCATTTCAAGAAATATAATTTGAAGGCAAATGCGTTCTTTGGGAAAAGGAGAAAAATAGATTGAGTAAATTTTCGACGTCGGTTCCCCTGTCGTCGTTAGACTCGAGTAAATGTGCAAAGAACAATTAATATTTCTAACGTGCGGAGCAGTCAATATCCATTTGATCCCTCAGCTAGTTAGCGCCTGCTGCGTGCGTCAGTCTACATCGATTGACTTTCGTCTTTTCCACTTTTCCTGAGATTTTTCTACGTGGCATCTTGGCCCTTTTTAAATAGGCCAACTCCGAGGATGCGAGGTTTGTCCCATGCGGAGATGTGCCTAGTATCAAGGGTGTGCATGGCTATTTAAGACAGGTAGCTTCGCCGCTTAACCGCCAGTTGATGTTTTTCAATGAGTGTAGAGGCAAATGTCCCCGTTTGGCCACAATATGCGGCATCGCAGGCATCACGAAGGATCTTATAGACGACTTCCTTTTTGTCCAGATAGACAGTCCTATCCTTAGGGTCTAAAAGCTGAGTGCGTAAAGTAGTCGTCGGCTTGTGCGCTACTTTTAGTTGGTGTTGCATCAAGTGCCTTTCAACAAATTCAAACATTCCTGATGTAAGGGAGGATTTGTCACGTATTAACTTTGAACGCTTTATTGGAAGTATCTAGTTTCTTAGGTTTTATCTCTTCCTGTCTCATGCGTCGACGTGTAAGAGTTCTAAGGTAACCATTCCGGAAAAATAATTCAAACGGGTAATTTAGTGCAGTTTGGTAGCTTTTCATCAAAACGTGTTTTGGTTTGATCTAGCAGACTTTTGACAGTACCCTGCTTGTAAGAGACTAAGCTGTTGCTCTCGGAGTGCAGAATTACTTCCGCATATGTTTCTTTGCGGTAAACGGACGTATGTAATGTTTCGTCAGTCTGACGCTAGAAAGGGAAGTTTATTGTCAACTTCTTTTTCGAGCGTGAATTTAATTCCTGGAATTGTTGAGTTGATAGTGTTGTGGAGCATTTCCCTTTGATCGTTTTTAATGACAACAAGTGTGTCGTCCACATATCATAAGCACAAGTTAGGGTTAACTAATCGAAGAGCTACCGATTACAGTTTCTGCAGTGTCGCCTCTGCAGGAAAGTCAGATATAAGTGCTCCCATAGGAGCTCCTTTTAGGTGTCGACAATATAGGTGATCAAACGAAAACTTAGATACTAAACGCAGGTTCATGAATTTACGAAGGACAGCTGTGGAAACTTCCGTGTTGTAGGATTTAGGAGACCATCTGTGCATTATCTTGAGAAAACTAGTGGCATGAGTGTGAATAAAGAAACTACTTTTTTGCTGGAGCAATAAAGCTTATCGTAAACTATCGTCGGTGATAAAATTGCCATAACCGTTAAGGACAAAATTACGACAACGGCCCACCGGCTAGATCGCAGTTGGTATCCAGGAATGAGGAAGCGGACGGCGAACTTAACCCAAACCCTAACCTTAACCCTAACTTTAACCTTAAACGTTAACCGTTAACCCTAACGGCAACCTAACCGAAATCGTAAACTTAACTGTAGCCCTTAGACATAGACCTAACGATAAAACCTATCTGTAATACCGAAACCTAGTCATAACGTCAAACCCTAAGCGTAACCCGAAAACCTAAGTCTAAATGGTATAACCCTAACCCGAAAATCGCGCACCATTAAGCGGTACCCTACTCCTAGCCTCAAGCGTAAAACGGAAGCCAAGTGGGTCAGATGTGATTATGTAGTTCCACAAAAAGCCCCCGGTAAACAAACCCCCCAGTCACCTGTAATACGGGGCCTGGCTACCAATTGCGATCTGGCCGGCCCACCTTGCATACTGAGGGATGAAATTTATGTTAAAAATTAGTCTACCCTATTTTGAGACAATAAAATCTATTGCACGGCAAGGCACTTTTTAAACATTAGTTTGCGCTTTAATTATTTCTGTGTCCTAAGTTAACTAATTATCCTGCTGATTATGGTTTAAGTCCTGCGGGTATTTTGCCTAATTCGAAACCTAGACTTTACAACAAACGGAGCATTGTAAAGTAAGCAGGCTATTAATATTATCTCAATCGGTCAAAAGCCATTGATTATTAGTTCTGTTAAAAAGTTCTTATGTTGGCAATTTTCAGATGAATGTGAGGTCTCTCCATTTCTCCCCAAAAATAACTTCAGGATAACACTAAAACTTTCTGCTCTTTTGTAAATTCCCCTGGCTGGAGTCGACGGTAGTTACTTTGAAGACTTAATTTCATCGTGTCTCTTCAGTTTTTAGATAGTTTTCGTTGTTTTTGAATTGTATTTTCAGTTTAAGAATTGAGAATTCCCTACAATAAGACCGCTCAATTGTTAATGTACTTTTCGTATGCCTGATGCAGTACCCGTATCCATCCCAAAATAGCATTCATTTAAACTACACCGCTCAAGTTCATTTTTTCGTATTATTACAACCTAAGTTTTCTATTTTGTGGTTAACTGTTGATTAAATATTTCTAGGATATTCACCTCTGCTCAAAACGTACGTGTGTGATGAAACAAAAGATTGTTCATCGGCGCTGGTACTCCGCTTAAGGGCATCAAATAACACATGTTTGTGAAATCTGCATTTTAGGATTTTAATTAGCTTTCGGAACATAACGGGCTCACTTACATTTTGCCTCAACTGATCTGCTCTGACCGAATTAAGGGGTTTCAATATGGCAAACGCTTTTGGAGATATGTCAGACCAGAATTAATGCGTGCGTCTAAAGAAATAAGCGCGAAGACGAAGATGTGACCACGAAATATATTAGCATGAAAAACTACCGGATTTTAAGAAGAGTTGGTTCTGCTCCCAAATCAACCTCCTTGTTCATTAACTGGCGCTAGAGGGCATTTTGTATGAGCTAAATGCTATTTACTTAATGCGGCTAATCAAAAGGTAAAATTCACAGCTTCTTACATGACGCTGACTAACTGCCAGGATTCCGCTTAGGACATTTTATTAATTGCTTTCAGTTATTAGACCTGAGTGAAGGCAATTTGTTCATATCATTCATACTGTTTAGGTGTTTTTCCAACAGTAGAAATGCAAGTTGTTCACTTACAATTTATAGTACTCTTCTGTGAGATATCTCGGTGGCCATGCTTTTCCCTCCGCACTAGAAATGTGCTGTCATCCTGTACGTGTTCGATTATATAACGTTTGTCGGAAGCTACTTAACTCCAAACTGAGAAATCAGTTTTTGTCTATTACGCAGCATTGTTATTTCATACGATAACCGCGATAAGAAATTATGTGCTGGTTTTCCCAACAGAAATAGAGCTATTATGTTTCTAGCCCCTACATTGAGTGACTAATCCTACACACATTCGAATATGTACGGACAGTTCCCACAATCACAAACACAGAACTTATGAACGAACTGATTACATCAAAGAAGTCACTTTCGAGTGAACACCCGATCACGCCTCCCCCTAATAATTGCTTCAGACTTTTGATGCGTTGTGCGCGCAGACGTTTCCATGTATTAAGGTCAAGTCGTCGCTGGAGGCTCTGTTGACCTTAGCGGTTGGCAATTTAATTTTCACCCAGTCATGCAGGCCTCGCGTGTCCACCTGACCGCGTCATCATCCAGTATGCTGGACGTTCGAATAGACAACTAATCTGGCACATGTCCGATTACCATTGGGCCTATTCGAGCCATCCACGCGCAAATGGCACAAATGACAGTTACCACTGACACCTCTGTTCCAGTTCTCCCAGCCTTCCTAATGTTACACGCATCACACCTGATGTAGGAAAAAGTGGTAGTTTCGTGGGAAAAGCAATATGATTAGAATGGAACGCTCATAAAATAACCACGAGGCACAATCCTATTTGTTGCCGAAGACTCGATATTTGGTCACGGTTGGTTTGCGATGTCAAGTAGCGCAAAACCTGTCATGCCCCATTGCTTGGCTTGGAAAACGCATCTTTTCGAGCACATGGAATATTCTGCTGATAATACCAAGTTTGCGCGCCTTTGTACGGGTTCTGTTTCGAAACATGCATTGATTTCTCATTGGTGACTACTTCATATTCGACTGTAATAAAAAAACTAAAGAAACAATATTTTAATAGATTCATCTGACTGCATAAATTGCTATTAATCTACAAACGATGGGAGCCCAGTCGCACATGCGACTAGCTTCCTATGCCGATGCTCAGCAAAAACTTCTGCGTCGTTTACCATTTAAAGCGGTGCTATATTACACCTTGTTTGCATAAGAAAATTTAGTAAGGTATAGAAATATGTACGAGCACTCGGGTGAGCAAAGGGTCATATAGGTTAATGATAGGAGATCGCTTGCTTAGAAATGTTGTCTCTGCTATCGATTACTATAAATTTCGAAACTGAAAGAGCCTGACTAATTGATTTTTGTTTTCTGTAAAGCGCACTACCTTTGAAAACAAAGTAGGAACTTTAGGGTGGAATTCCACATCACTAGAAGCGAAGTCCAAAACCATCTAAATTATAATCGTTTTCGTGTATTTTTATAATACGAATTTTTGCAAACAAAAGTAATAACCGTAAGGTTTAAAGCTACGAAAGCAGAAACGTTTATAACAACCGCGATAACCGTTAGATACTTGGACTAGCTAAATGTTAAAACATTCTGTAGCACAGAATTAAGTTTCTATCTGACACCACTAAATCGTTGTCTCTAGTTTCGCTGGATTATTGTCTGCCGTCCTCTCAAAGCCGCGCTAATTTCAAAAGTGAATTGCCTGCGTACCCAGTCAGCAGCTTAGATAGGGTACTGATGACCGCTGGGTGGCCATTTAACTCGAAAATTAGTTTGCCTCCCTCGCGAGGGAGTTAATTTCCACTTGATTTTTTCGACCTCAATGTGGTTTCGTTAAACACACCACAGTCAGGTTGTTCTTCCTTCCTTGAAGGTAATGACTTATGATCTCTAAAACAGGGTTAGATCAATGAGTCAGCTGATTAAACATTCGTTCGAAATCCTTGTCTCTGCTGCGTTTCTCTTTGTCCTAGAATTGCCTTCATCTAGAGTTTTTACTCCTCAGGCGCATACTTTATTACATTTTTACGCATTTTGTTTTACAAATCTGGCCTCTTCCTGGGCCCCATGAAGTGTACTGAAGTTATTTAAAAATACTACTGAAGTTTTCGACTGGTTTCCCAGCGCGCTTTTGTCGGCACAATTAAAGTGTAGTAGATGGATTGCGTGGGACATAATACAAGAGCGATAGTTTTTCCGGTCATAATCCATGGCGCCGAAACGCTGGCCAGGACTTATTGCCATTGCCGCTAGTGAACCGTCGAGAGGTCTACAGACAGGCTTGGTAAATCCACTTATTTAAGTAAGAGCATTTTGAACGTCGTGTGGTTTTTTCTGTAGCCGTCATACGCTAGTCTGGTGCATAAAATCCTTCGAAGAACTGTGCAAAGGTCGATACTACCAATCTGTCCAGGCTTAAGTTCCGGCGCCATGTAGTAGGATACTAAACACGCCACGTTGGTGCTAAGTCCTAGATTATTTGCCCATTCTGTTTTTATTACGGCGAAAAAAGTGCATTAGAAAACTAGCTAGAAACTGCAAAAACCTTTTCAAAATCATCTGTTCACTGTGCGGGATTTCAAAACACGGTTAACATGCATCGATGTAAGCGGGTGATCATTCCAAATTAAATACTTCTGTAAATAAAACTTTGTAGACCGTAACGAGACCGAAGAATAAAAATTGAAAACAGGGAGTTGTTAATTAGATGTGAATACCCACAAAACTGCATACTATCTTCAAGTAATACCTCCGTATTTGTGATATGGAAGTCGTATCACTTGCTAAAGTATGTGCACATATAAAATTGTGCGTTAAAAATGCATGTCTTCGATAATATTTACCTTCCAAACCTCCAGCAGAACCGCGTTCATGGAGAAATTTTAAATTATATCTCACACCCTCCGTAACTGTAAAGTCGTATCCATTTCAGGAAAACATCGGTAAGGTTTCCCTTATAACGCGCGTGGATTCTGTTTGAGTACACTACATGACAAACCGTTAATTACTCCATATGGGGAGTAAGAAAAAGCAATCTTGCACCCCGAGACGAACGTCCGCTTTGATACAATCTGTGGTATAATTTGTAGCGTTTTCTGAACAGAAGCATTAAGGAACTTATGAGTGACAATCTAATCTATATGGCGTATGCGGAGTTCATTTGTTTATTCACTCGCGTCGGTGAATACTTTGTTGCATTCAATCTAGTTCAGCATACTAAACAGATACCTCGATTTATATGCCGACTATAAAAATCCAATTACTGTGCCTGTCGGGAAACAAAAGGTCTTTGAAAAGAATGCAGTATTTAATAAAAAGTGCGATTTTTCTAGCTACAACTGCAAAATGATGCTCTTCAGAACTTATCGCATATTTATTATCATCGAAACCCCTGTTCGCGATACGAATTTGTATTTTAGCATAAGATGGCAATATGTGTTTTGCCAAACTTAAGGAAATGTGCAATGACGGCGTTGAAATATGACTAACCTTATATTGTGTGGAACTTAACAGCGGGCTATAAACTCAATGAACCTAAGGACTGTTTTAAAACAGTCTTCTAACTTGAACCAGTCTGCTCACATGAAAAGATATATTATCACCCTGATTTGAATAAATTATGCCAGTTTATGATTTCTATAATTTAAGCATCGTCTATGCGAGACGCCTGAAAGACGCCACAGGCACATGCTGGCAGTTGTTAAGGATTATTTTTGCCATATCCCTGAAATAATGAGGTATGGATGACCCCGGGTTAAAACTGAAGTTAACTCTTTTTAGAGTGCAATTAGTTGAAACTATGGCAACCTTACTTAGTTACATCAAGCAAACTATATATTAAAAGCCTTAGAGTTGATATCACAACTTACTTGCAAAGCATCTTTAGATTTCGAAAATTGTAAGTAAATGGAATAAATTACATGGTTTTACATTAGCTACATTAGACATGACACATAGAATGCCATCATAGTTTATAACAGGATAAAATGAGACTTATTAATATTGATCCGAATAACATCGTGCGACCAACCAGATATACCTCATGCAACAGCCGTTTTAACTGTAGGATATGATGTTTTCTCCACTCAGACCAAGGTGCAGGTGCTCTGTCATGTGGACTCGCTTCAACGGTGACAACGGCCGCCTTAGTTGCAAAGTCGCGTTCCGGAGCTATGATGTCAACGCTGAACAACAACACTCTACCAGGAAGAGTAGGATCCTCGAGTGAACCGCCGCTGCCAGAAAAACCAAGAATAAATCTGCAACCTTCAGCTCGTCGGGCCTCTTCGCCATACCCCACACCTGCAAAAGCGCGTAATTTGACGCGCAAGCGGTTCTGTTCTTTTCGACATGCGGCCAACAACTCGATCTCCCATTTTCGCCGGGGTTCGCCATCAAGCACAACACAGAACGCGGACTCGACTGCGGAGACTCCAGTTGCCTCGGAGGAAAATAACTTTAGCACATTTTTCGGAGACGGAAACAGTAGAAGCCCTAACGGTGCCGGCCCTATGAACATGGCCAGTTCAGCCGTATCGACAGCGGTAGATGTCGAAGTGGGAAAAAATTCAGATAATTGGCCTAAAACATCCCTTCCATCTGCTAATCAGTTTGCGGAGACTGGACGTGCCTCCACCTCTTCCTCCGGAACCTCAGATAGCGAATCAACGACCGTCTATAAGTATCAGCGCAGACGGAGCCGAGCTGTACTTTATCATCTCTCCGGTCGGTTCGACAAAAGTAACAAGCAAAAAATGCATTTTAAGCGGGTATGTATGTTTTGGTAATGGAGGACCTCGTGCTTCATGAGCGCATAAATAAATTATAAACTATTGTGCATTTTAACTAGAAAAACTAACTAAAACCGTTCGCCAGAGGGCTTTTTCACATTTATGTACCTTTGACTCATGAAGAATGACCTTTGGCATTTGCTCACTTATTTTCTTAAAAAAAGCCCGGAATATGGATGAATAGCAAACAATTTACAAAACAGAGCACCCGCATTTTAGTGTAGCTGGGCACCGACTGTTTACTATTCAGTAAAATAGGTTAAGATTTTTAAGTAGTTGTGGAAACTGTATTTGAAGTAATTTAAAATGCGAAAAATACGGACTCACAAGATCAAATAACATGTTTTTAGGATAAATGTTCAATTGTAAGTTGGATTTCCAGGCACACCAGAGAAACAACTTCTGACCTAAAGCGAGACAAGAAAAAATAAATTTGCGGTCCCTGCAGAAGATGAAATTTTCGATGGTCTTTTTTCAGGCGTTTCAACAAATTAAACGTTATTGAACAACATATTTCCGGTTTGAGACATTGACTAAACATCCCACTTCGCATGCTGTCTCGCCTATTACCAAGGCGTTTTGCTGCAGACTGCTTACACAAATGTTTTAACTACGTAAATTAGGCTAACCGATGTGTTTCTTTTAACCTGAGTATTCAGTCATGCCCGGCAGACCTACTTGCTCTTAACACTCTACAATCAGCTTTTCAAAAACTGAGAAAGCCTACCTCTGCTGTCCTTGTGCCGTGCTCTACATACTTTGTACGTCAGACTTATGGACGTGAAACTCCCGTAGGGAAACCATAAGGAATGATTTATTTAACATTTTTTAAACGACTTTGATGTTATCTGTGCACAAAATACCATTTAGTACGTTATATGATGTCGACTGGTCGTCTAAATTTTGGGAAGATATATAGACAGTGTTCTTAGCCTCAGCAAATATCTTTCCTCTGCGTATTCCGTAAGCCCCATTTAGTCGGTAAAAATCTGTCAGCTAATTAAGTGGTAGGAAATAGTAAGCAACAAAGGAAAAATATAATTATAAAATGAGCGAATTATTGCATTTTTTGTCAGGACTCTTTGTTTATAAAAGGGGACACATGTTTTATTGGGATGGTACAATGGTTTCCCCCGTAGGACGAAGTTCACTCGCGCGATGTCTTTTACCTTGCTGGGCTGAAACCAACCCGTATACTGTAAATGAGGGGACTCGCCAAGTGATTAACAGGACTACATGATAGTGTACGAAATACTTCTCGATTCGAAATTCGCATTTTGTAAAATTTAAATAATTGATGACCACCAAATCAAACTTCATTTATAGGTTGGCTTCTCAAAGATGAAGTTAACATCGTGCCGTCTTAGTCCCCATGACCAGGATGGATATATAAAATACATGCATTGGTTTTACCAACACCAATAATAAAAGTAAACAATCAGGCAGGACAACCTTCGCAACGTATGCTCATAGGTTTGGATAACAGATAGAAAATATAACTAAAAGTGTCAAAGGAAATTGCGAATGCTTGTTTTTTGTAATTTAAAACAGTAAAATATGCATTCCATCAAATATTGAGGAATGCATGTTTGGACAAAGGGGAAAATTATCCTTTTTCGTTCAGTCATGAGCTTACGATATGAAACTACATATTAAATAGCACTGAACCTCGAATCATATTAGTATTCGAGCGCGCCAATTCGTACTTACCAATTCTTCACAAGACATTTGTGCTCTTCTCCTCTCACCAATCTCATTAGTTAAGTATTTCAAACATCGTTTTGGTGTGAAGAATGTATTTAGCGGTTGCCTAAGTTCTGTACCAGGCCATGAAAGCACTTTCAGTTCAGTGGCCCTTGTTGCCTTAGTCAGCACTACAGAAAGTCAGTTTTTGTCTGTTGCAATAGTCGAAAATTTTGACTATTACGGCTGGTTTGGATAGTAGGGGAGTAAATGAAATGAATAAATTAAAAATCAAGCATGGCCTCAATGGAAAAATTCTGGCCCAGATATTTGAAATAAAAATGCTTATAATCTATTAGTTTTCTTCAGTTTGAGGATAACATCAAGTATTAAACGAAGCCGAAAATCAATGGTCCTTCGTCTTTCGGCCAGCAAACTACAGCGCTATTCCTTTTCCCTCAAAGACAGGTACTCGTAAGCAAATTAGGAACTTACAATTAATCTCTACATTTCACATAAAGTTACTACATGTAGGCCGTCACAGCAGGTTTACACGATTATTAAGTGCCGCTCCTTGTTTTCTTAAAATGTACCTTGTAACTAAGAATGTTTTCCCGAGACTATTTATATTTTCTAAATATCCTTTATAAAAAGAATTACTCAAGAACGTAATGTCAACTTCACTGGGTGCATGTCAGTCTATGTAAATCTGTCGGATTGATTAGAGCTATCACAAGATGTTAAATTTGTTAAAATTGCCGTTGAGGAAGGGCGATACGCGGAGTAATATTTATATCCAAAGTAGCAGAATCCTACTAGTGGATAAAAATAGAAACAAAGTTTGCCTACGTTGCCTTCTTCGATTTTTCGCCAAACAATTTAGCTCATATAGCAGTAACGATCACTTTTCGCGTCAGGTGAAATCTACAATCATGAAAATGTCCCGGAAGATTTACTATAAATTCTAATTTTCTATACAAATGCAGTGTCTTAGTGGGCAAAGGAAATTTATCGAGTATTGGTGATGTTCACATTTGTCGTCGCTGGGCAGTGACACATTCGCTGTCTTCCATCACCGTCTTTGACGTTGGAGTTTGCTCATGTCTTTTTGTAACTTTTTACAAGGGTTTGTAAGTTCGGCCTGATACTCAGTCGGTGCCCGTGTTTGATCGCCATTCTTCTTTCTCACTTAAACATGCGACTCGAATTAGAAAATGGTCTTTCGTTCATAACAAACATATGCATTCAGCTCATAGAGTAAAGCAAATTGCAATCCCTTTCAAATTCCTGCTTACGCGCCAAATTTACCGCCTTTCTTCGATCAGCTCCCTCAACTGTCAACAAAGAATTCCATGCCGGAGTACAAAGTGCAGGATATCAAAGCGTCAAAGTGCATCATACTGCACTATAGCATTTTCAAGATTGTGTGGGACTGGCTGATAGTTCTTTGTACATTCTACTTTGCTGTCGTCGTTCCATTCAATGCAGCATTTCAACGCGACAACCACGAACGCACTTTGCGCAACCTCGATATGGTCCTCGAGGTTCTTTTTATTGTGGGTAAGTTTCTTTGGCGTTTTATATCACTTCAGCTACCTGAAATTGAGACAATTTGGCAATAGGAAAAGTATTCCAGCATTGGGCGTCGTTGCGCCTATTCCTTTTCTTTTCTCCGTTCATTTATACGACCAGCTTCCAGGCGTTCTTTCCGAAATACGATTTATCTCCGGTACTGGATGATAATACAAGTTCAAAGTTAGATATCGCATGAACCTCTTTCTGACTGATCTTGTTGCTGAATAAGTATCCCTCCAATTGCAGGGCCACTGCATTTACGGCAGTGAGCATCTAAAGTTTCAAGTTCCAAATCGCAATCCAATAAATCCATATTACAGCTTGAAATATACTGTCAATAACATGAGAAGTGATCGTAGCCAATCTCACTTAAGGCCATGTTCTTAGATCAACTTTAGCTGCGCACGATAAGTCCGAGATATGTGAGTACTAATTTATTCTGTAAAAAAGCAGGTTGCTGGTGAGTTGACAGTTTGGTTGTGCGCCTATTCGATGGCGCGCGAGTAGCGGTGTATTGTTTTCGCCTGTCCAACCTGTCCCCGTGCGCGTGTAAAATTGATTGACTCTGTGAGACGTGTGATGGATTGACCTGCGGGTTAAGTTAGCGAATGCGTGACTACGAGGCCCCAGGGCTCAATGTTGCAGGTCCTACTTGAGTGACGGTCGTGCGTGAGGGTAAAGCCTGCAGGCTACCTTGGTTGTCGATGCCATCAACGTACTCCGAAAACGGGGGTATGGGAGCGGCTTCCACGAAGCAAGCACAACCAGCGCCCATAAACCGGAAATTTTAACACCTAAAAGCGTGCGTGGCCAAGCTCAACAACTTCCGAATGGCATATTAGTCTTTGACCATACTTCTTAAAGGATATCTTCGTATTTCCTCTATGCGCTAAACTTAACTCACTAGTACTAAAAATTCACAAAGGTTCTCCACATAAGATTACCAGTACAAACGTTAGTCGCGATCGTCGACTTTCTTCTTTTTGCCTAAACTTAAAAGTATTCGTAGTAAGACCGAGGGGAGACTTATACCTGTCTTCTGGTTTCTCAGGTGAACATCTTGACTACCCCTGATTACTTGCTCTAATATCCTCTGTATTCTTGTGTTATAAGGCGCATTAGTAGCATGGATATAGTCCTCTACACTTCAAGCCACAAAGCCGATTCTACATGCGGCACGGATCTTCGCCCTGCTTTCGTTTGCGTAATCCTGTCTTTCTTGACTGTTCCGAGCGTCTTTTGCCAAGTAATGGGTCAAGGTCATGGAGCCAGCAAGCGGGGGCTGACCGAGCCGCTAACTGACAAGTTGGCCTCTTGCAGTTGCTTCAAAATGTGTCTAGCATTCTTGAAGAAGGAGCCACGATCGCTGGGACAAGAGCAGCCAATGAAGCTCTTGTCCCAGCGATCGTGTCTCCTTTTTCAAGACCGCTTCCTGGGACTCGTCTTTTCGCTTTTATTGACAATGCGTCCAGCACCTCCGTCCACGCGCCTCGTCAGCGTGGCTTATTTTGCCACCCTGGACGTCTGGACTTAACTTGTAGACCACAGACGTCTGCTGGTGACTGTGCCGTAGTAGAGTTTATCTTAATTAAAGTCGGACTATAAAGACATCTTTCGGATTTGTCAGCTGTCGGCGGCGTGCCAAGTCCTGTCCTGTGAGAAACGCGTATGCAGATTTCTGTAAGGTATATTATCTTTCGCCACTTCAGTTCTCTCATGATATTTGGCCACTCCCAACGAATGCTTTTGGACTAGAGGTCACTGCAAAGAGTTTGAGATGTCTGACTTTGTCTTATATAGAGGTGGGTTTGCTGACGTGAACATCCACTTTGTAGGCCGGCATGCGGATAGTTCCGATTCTTTTTTATTTAGTAGCTGCTATTGTAATGAAACTGATCCTGGAGATCATGCTTTGCATTAAGACAGTTAACAAGAAACATATGAAGTCTGACGCATTTGAGTTCTCCAAGCTGGGTCAGAAGTTTTGATTGTTATTCAACCTAGTTAGGCTCTAGCGATTTCTTTTTACTGTTGCATGTGTGCCAGCTCCTCCTTCAGGAAAGATTAATCACGCTTAATTAGTTCCAGTACATGCGGAACTAGGAATCAAGTCGTGTGTGTCACGGGTAAACGAGCTGACTAGCTTTGACGAGAAATGCGTTCTGGTCGATGTCCAATTAATATGACTTAATATTTCTTTGGGAACAGAGTCGACGCGAGATGAATGAAAGGGCAGACACGAATCTGGTCTGGTTCCCTACACAATAAATTCCAGTCGAAATTGACTTCACCTCACGCGGTTGAAATACCAGCTGCTCTAGCGGGGTGTTGGCAGCGTGTAGGCTACGCGTCCGTTTCATGGCGTTTTTAATCGGCCGTTAGGTTGGTTGCAGACGAGAAAATTAAAGAATGAGGTATGGTTCCCCATGTCATACGTCACCGGTATCGTATATCTAAACTCACCGGGCTCGCTTGTCCTTAACAGTAATCGATCTTCTTCTAGTCAGTAACGAAAATGCCGTCATCAGCATACCAAGTCTGAAAATGCAATTTGTACGCCACGAAACCTTCCTCGTGATTTTCGAAGATGCCCTCAAAAAAAAGCCCATAGTCTGAAGGGTAGTCCAATTTCCATAAAATGTAAAGCGGGACGCGGATTTTCATGTCAAATGAGTGAGTCTCAAGAACAAACGCCGCATCAAGAGGGGGATCACTGCTCACCAGGCACTTAAAAGCCAAATTTACAGGTATTACGCACAACTTTCATGTGCCACGATTGCCCTGTCTGGTCTATTCGGGACAGGAGTTTGTTTCTTTGCTTGAAAATATGCGTTCATGCTATCCAAATGCCATTTGAATGATAACTATCCCAACATTTGATGCTATCCGCGCCTTTGCGACCCATCATCCTTTCAAAAATTTGGTCAAATCATTTGTTTGAAAATTCGCTGAGCGACCTTCTTAGGAAATCACCAAGTCCATTTCTCCAGGCTCCTGCTGGCTTTTGAAATCTGTCTAACGCACATGCAAATTCCTTGAAATTAGCATACTACACTACATAAAAACTTTTCGAAGTATTTCCTTCGAAGAGCGCAAAAACCACAACATCCGTCCGATTTTGACGCCCTGGTTAAAAGACTTCGTGTCCATGACTTAACTTGCTAGTCCGTAGATGTAGCAAACAGCCAACATGTGCCTGAGTGACAAAAAGCCTTGCAGGGCCAAAGTTTAACAATATATACTTGCCTCTGACCTACTTGCATCCTAACTTCTAGGTGGCGCTGTAGGGCGGTTAACTTGTACTAAGATGTTGCTAACAAAATTCGGCGTCCTGCAAAGCCCAGCTCCTGCCTGAAAAAATTACCCTCTTCTTTGTTTGCACCAGCAGACAAATTTGCCCTATTGGAAATTTACTCTAACTTTCGTCAGATGTATCGTTGCATTGCATTTGTATTGCATCACTGTCGTTCTGACCAATATAATGCGTCTCAGAAAATTACCGGGTGCTATTGTACGGTTAAATGTGTGAATAGTTGGCCGATTTGATGTTCGACATTGTGCTGCTTTCAAACGGAATCAAAAACCCATGAAAAATAAAATTCCCTTCCTCCCCACTTTTTAACTAACATCGGCTGTGCACGTTTGTGGAAGCCTAGCGCTTTCTAATATCAATGGAAGTTTTACATGATGACATATAGAAAGTAAGCTCCATCAGGGAAATAGACATTTCTGAAACCCGCGAATATGTTGAAAGGTAGCTTAATCCTCCCGCCGAAAACATTTCCCAAATTCGTGCCATTTTAAAAGTAATTTTTGGTAAAATATTCAACTAGAAACTACAAAGAAAGACAGGGAACATTACTGCAGTATGTGAGTTAACTCAAAAAATGTCACGTTTAAACAGAAAAAAATGCCTGTAACGCAAAATCCAGCCAAACTGGATTCCCCAAAGTCTTTCGGCAGTAAAAATTGACTGTTCTTAAAAGGTAGGTATACTTTGGCCTTTAATTAATATTTGATGATGTAAAAATAAATTATTTTGACTGAAAGCTAGGTGTTTAAGTCGCTTAAATAGGTTTTTCTATAAGAGTGCATAGTGTAGCTAGCGATGACATGCAGCAGAAGAAAGGTTTAATAGAAAATAAGAAATGTTATACTCTCTCTAAGATTAGAGTTTCTATACCCAAGTATCCAGGAAAGCGTATTAAGGTCATTTTCTACGTCGTGTCTCGGAAATGACACCTGCATGATTAACATATCAGTACACGCATTTTGCTTTTTGACATACTGATTAGTCACTAGACATTACTTATAAATTTGTCTTTAAATGGCAGTTTGTTACTTTATAAGCTGACGAATCCATATACTAGCAGAACATTTATATAACTAAAGACTACGCGATGATACTTTTGAAGAGGACCAAACCACACTCCTTTCTATGGGCCTTATAGCCGAAAAAGCCTTATATTCGAATGCACAAAGCTTATTTATTAAAATACTTTTGTTTTTCGAGGGAGATGAAAGATCCGTTTTCTTCGAAAAGGGATTACTTTCTAGATCTCGCATATCCCTTTCATAAGTAATCAATAAACATACCAATTCACTGCACACTGACGATCATAATACATTCGTTCCTTCGTTCCGATATTCATTTCGGTTTTTGGTCGAGAGTTATACGTTGAGCAAACTCCTTGAATAAGCATTCTGTAGATTTTTGAAGCTGTGTATACAATCCATGCAATTCGTGTCTCCTAATGATGCGAGCTGAGGGCAAGTGAATTACCGAACAATCAAAACTTCATTCTCCCTTAAGCTAATCTCATAAATATCAAAATGTTGAACAGCAAATTAATGCCACTGATAAGCTCAAAATTGTGAACAGTCTAGTTATATTCTCGGCCTTATACATTGTAACTCCATCGGCCTTCAACGCGTCTAGTTATTTTAATATTCTCTTTGGATTGAAATCTCCGCCTGGTTCTGGTACATAAGATAATCTTGTTATGCTCATCTGATCGTTTCGTCTTCCGGAGAGCAGGTTCAAAGTAGTTTTTGCCTACTCGTTTATAGCATATCACGTAAAGCTCAACTGTGTGAGAATGCTCTTAATTTGAGATACTTCAGTACCCATTACCATGATTTGAGGACATATATATCTGCATTTCCATCAAATTAGTAGGGTACGAAAACATTTCAATGCGCGTAATTTTTAATACAGGATACATACGTAAGTTGATAGTCTGTCCAGATTTACTCACAGTTACACCTTGATATTGCTAAGCAAATCCTCGAGCTGCTTAAAAATCCGGAGGTTCTACCTCCAGTCTTCTAAAACTAAGCAAGTAATTGATAATCTAATCGACCTTTCCAACTGCCAACTTCCAGGTTTATATGGAATGCAGTATATCAAAATAGTTTACTCAGGTCAGCTTTCTATATCTCAGTCAGCTGCCTAAACTGAGGAAAGCAGGTCGCGCTAAGACAAAATAAACGATTATTTTGACATCGTTAGAAATGGTTTCAAACCTCAAAATGTACGCCCCTTGGCAGGTGCCAGTCGGTAAAACTTGAAACTGACGCCTGACTTGGGAAAATGTTTCCAAGTATGTAGTCATATTGCACTGCGAAAAAGACGTGCAGTAAACGCAAGCAAGACATATTTTTGCTTTCTGAAACTTAATATATCGTGCTTGTCGTAGTCTTAATCCACGGAAGCTCATTTTCTGTGTACTTTATTATAATTATAGATATACTTCTCAATTTTCGGACAACTTTCGTGAGCAAAAGTGGCCAGGTAGTACATCAATCAAAGGCAATTGCAATTAATTACATCCGGGGTTGGTTCATCCTGGATCTCATAGCAGCCGTGCCGTTCGACGTGGTGTGGACGATACAGAGCCCAGAGTCCCCAGTCGTAAGTTTGAATCCAAAATTTATAAATAAATGTGCGACTGTTTGAGCACCTGTATTTGTCTTGTCCGATAGGGATGTGAATCAGAAACTATGTGTTTAGTTAGAGCATATGTAGTTAGATTTAGATCTTTCAACGGGCTACAGTAAATCTATCACTTTAACAAGAATGTCGTCTGAGTGAAACTGATTGCATATTACTTGTTCGGACAGATCTACAAAATATATGTTAAACGGAAAACTTCAATAAGGTTTTTGTGAAGACGGTTGAATATAGCAACAAAAAGTAAATGGCCATTCTGAACAGAATCATTCTAGTGAATTTTGCAGGAAAAGATGAAGAAAGTTATAATTACAGCATAGATGTAGATGTGATGGTGCGCGTTGACCTAGGTTTACTATTCGAACTGGAACTGGGAAGGCTAAATTCCAAACTTCCCTTGCAAACTGCTAAAATCTTATTAGAAAATGCGTTACGTACTTTAAAATATATTTACCAGCTTTAACTGAGCAGTGCAGCATAAGAAGTCGACAAAACAGCAAATATTATGTGGACGGCATGAAACCTCAGCCTATCCCTGCCTATCCATACATTCTTTGGGGTTTTTAAAATGTATTAGTTATCAGGAATTTTGCCAGACAATTTCTGTCACTCTAGTTGATTTATGCCCGCATAACAATTTCCCTCAAGTTGTTTGCCATCAATAATATATTTGACATTCTAAAGGCAGTCCACAATGCAGGAAACGGTCATCCATGAACGTTCAAGTAGATGAGGTCACAGAAATTATATAATATAAGTTAGTTTTTAAATTGCGCGTGATACTTTAGTATTTCGTGGCAAGCGGATTTTCAAACGGTCCACGAAAATGAACCTACTGGTTTTTTCACATTCATACCGACATCTGACACCCGCGATGAAAAACAGTAACGTCAAATTTCAAATCATCAAATTAAAACCAGCGACAGACGTCGCGAACCTGCACCGATACATATTGGTTGAGTAGAGACGCCAATGTCAAATTCGCAAAACTTTCGGCTAATATTATTTTTACCTAGTTGTTTATTTCACTACAAGTGTAAAGTAATGTGGGAGGTGATTTGGGACTCTTCTGTATATTTTGCAGGACTTATTTGTATTGATGCGGGCTTAATTTTACTCTTCATCCGAAATACACTGTATAATGACAAGGAAAATTAAATTCCGGAGAATTAAAAGACACTACCGTGATAACCAAACCTTAGTGGTTTTCAAACGTCGAGTTTATCTGCACATGGCGGATTCGAGTAAGTGTGCAAACGGAAACCTAGTCCTCCAAATGAAGATTCGGCACTTCTTAAATATTCGTATCCTCTCACCCAACACAGATATCCACGAATAGTGTCGGTTTTAAGACATCGCATGTATTAAAAAGACATTAAGGATATTCACACCGCTTAAATCATTTTGGGTAACACTGGCCCCATTTTCTTTGGCCTTTTCATTGCGTGGAGATTCAAGAATTTAGCTGATTTTAGATTTTAGGCGGCTTTATCTGAGCATAATAAAGTCGCTTCTTTTGACGCCAAAAATACGTAACGCACTTCTCATTGCCGACATAGCGTTACGTAGAGCTCTCTGAAGACCATGCCAAAGACTTCCTGTTTCCTCTGCTCCATCTTATGTCATAGGGATGTTTTACAGAATATGGAAGCACTTACTCTTACAAATGTGGCCATTACCTAGGCGCAATGACTTCGTAGTGGCTGAAATCTTGCCATTTCGTTCAATGGCGACGAAGCATGTGCATAACACTGAGATCTCCTTGATTGACCGGTTTGGCTCCCCACCCGAGTTGGGATTGACTCTCTCTCAAAATTCACCCACCCAAATTACGTTACCTGGGTTTCGTAAAAGTCACTTTCCGGAATTTGGTGTTTACTGAACCGAGAGTGAATGGCGTGAATGCTGACAAAAGAGTTAATGAGGTCATTAGGTCAAGTTGGTAAATACTGGAAAATTGAGGTCAGAAGACGTAATTAAAGGTTTAATTGGCCGCAATAACTAAGTCATGTTTTCTAAATTCTAAAATTAAGTAAACAACTTTACAAAACTAAGAGTTAGGCGCTTCTGTTCGACAGCAGTTTAGAAACGACGGTTTGTGAATCTTCAATAGGCCAATTTATCTTATGAGTACTGTATAAGTGCACTTCAGTCAGTGCTTTCCACTGATTTATAAAAATCCTGATTCTGGATTTACTTATCACCCTATTCACTGGTTCCGTCGCTGTTACAGACTGCTAATGGCAGATATGGGTTTCGTAATCAATTCAATATCGGGATTGTTAACTGGTTCCTTATTAGGAGGAAGAATGGGGAATTTTTCAAGTTTCCTTTTCTTTTTAACCCTATCTGCATCCATTTTAGTCTGACTGGTGGGAGTAGTTTTGGCTTTATCAAACTACAGCAGTTTAATTGGTCTTTTCTCTCCAAAAGAAACATGTGCTTACAATATCTAAACCACGGAGCCAGCCTCCGGAATACGACCTCCGAGTAATTTGGAATTAGGGACCTCATTTGCATTTCTATTTTATGAAAAGATAAATAAATATTGCATTTAAGGTGTTTAGCTGTTGCCTAAACCCGTAAAACCTGCCGCTCTGATGCTTTACACATTAATGTAGTCATAAAGAGGAGAACCAAATGTCAAACGTAGGACTTGCATCATTTAAATCAGTGAGTATAATTGCATTCTCTTTGATTTGCTGCACTCGAACTCACTGCGAACGTATGCTTTGAGAGGGGGTAGATTAGGGTCATTCCAGTGTAGACTGGGAGCTTACCTTCCACTCTAAAAATAATGATGGACTTTCAAACATCAAGTCCAATTAAAAAACGTACTTTGGAATCCTTACTGGCGGCAGGGCTAACTCTACCCATTTGGAGACTGAAGACTGAGGTGGGTCCTTTTTACTTGACCTTACTCACCACATTTTTCAATACTTTTGGAAACCTAGACTTTGAAATTAATAGGAAGCAATAAATGCTTGACAGCCCTGGGAGGTTGGCTATGTTTGGTTACGTCCATTCCCATTTATCTCGACTTTGTCTTGCGAATGGCGAAGGATAAGTCTTAGAATCAAAAGTAGTGTCAATACCGCAAAATACGTCCTCACCGTAAATAATATCTTACAAGACACACGTACGATGTCGGAATAATGCTGCGCGTTCTCCATCTCAGTGGACAGCCTACTGGTTACTTCTCGCTTGCAAATCCGATCATCTGCATGACTCCTGTAGGTCACTGAATATTGAACTTACTTCAAGCTGGCTGGTGACTGCTTAGCTCAACAAAATCATACTCAAAAAGGCAACCGGCAGTTGCCATCTTTACTCGTTCGGCCACTGCTGGCAGCAGGGTCACCAAGTGGATGACATACACTTTGTCAGACAAGCCGAGTACTTCTGACTTCTGTTACTGTCAGTCTGTCCAAGGATGTCCACTCCAGTGAAAGTGGAATACTGTTTCCACTGTTGCGGCGAATTTCCCTAAGTCACATATGCTTATTGTGCTTCAAACGTCTCTCATTATGTCGATTATTGATAATAAGTGTTTTAACTTACAAATATTCACATAGAATTCAAACTACAGGGCAGGTTTTGTTGCCTAGTTTGCCGTTGATATTTTATAACTGATGCTACTCAAGTGGCTGCTACTAGGCTCAGTATCTAACGAGAATATTAAAGTGAACAATGTAAACAACCACCAACTTATTTTTGTCATCTTAAATATAAAAGGTGAGTTTCAAGGACCTAGCTGCGGAAATTTTAAACGATCACACATTGTGGCCAAAGAGATTACTATCCATGGCAATTTTGACTTTAGCTTCATTAAACAACAAGATATGGCCAGCCTCTTGGAGTCTCTCAGATAAGCGTGGGTTAAACACACTAATACCAGGAATAAGGACTGAATTAAGTTGACAATCAGGTGGCTTTGATGAGCTTTTCTTCAATTTTAATGACCGGAAGAAAAAGATAGTAACTTTTTTAATATGCTTAATTCAAGAACGATCTCGGTACGCTGAACCATACAGCACAGTTATTAATATGGATCTTTACATTTGAGCTTAAAATGTGTGATTTAGATGTACTGTCAGTCAGTAGAGCAAAAGTGAAATATGAACCCTATGCGGGCCAACAAACGCAGGGGTTTGTCAGCTTTTAAATGCATAATTAAATCCATATAAATATACAATTTACCACGTAAAACTCGACCGTCTCAGCGTCATCTGGCATATTATTTGGAAAGGCGAAATGACTTTGTTCATTTGAAGAATATCTGATCGTAAATTAAAGCAATCTTCTCACAAAACGTTATGAGCCGTTTGAATAATTCGCTCCTGCATTCGCGTTATGTTACGTCTTTATCAATTACGTGTTTTGCGTGGTATGTGTCGAACACGCAAATATGAACCCCCTAGTAAATGTGACCTCGTGCTTAGATCCAGAGTCTCCTAGTCCCATGTCTTAACTTTAAGCCTGACTCTCATTAACCTAATGCTGACCCTAACCTTAACCCTAACCTAATTCCAACTCTAACCACCTCCTTGGGATGTAAGCCAAAGTCACCTGTAATACAGAGGGTGCATATTCTCATTCCCACCAATGGTGTGTTACAACATAGGAAATAGTCAGCAGTTATCATATCGCATTGCACGTCAGTGGTTTGAGGGTATCTCATATTTTAGATAAAGGAGTTAAAGAGCAAAAGTATCCGTTTATGTTTAAACAGAACGCCCATGATGCGCAACTGTGTTAGCTAAAAAAGATAACCTCAAAGCTTTTCTCGGGCCAATGTAATGTCCTGTTCGTATGGATTTCAGATCGATAGGGGGTTGCTGCTAGGCCGCAAAACATACACACAAATGGAAGGGTACAGTTAGCTAAGATAAATGCTCTTTTATCAAACTTAATTTTATATGTGCTTATTTAACTGATTAAAAAAGCATATGGTGCTAATATGCACGAACTGATATGCCTAAATATTTGAAACAATACAGGAGGACATTTAGTAATAAGTGTTCCGACATATTCCAGAATTTTGGTCAATATCTCCAACGTTTGCACTTTAAGTATAAGAGCGTGAACGGGCTATTTTTGCAATATATTTTGCGTTTTCTAAAGACAAACACGACTGGCGTTGCCTCTAGGCTACATATGAGACAAAAGTGTTTTCGACTGCCGCCTTGTGTGACCAGACGGTTCTGTTGTCTAAGGGGAAAGAAGTTCGGATAGGGTAAGTTCTCTTGGACAGCGCACAGTACCTTCCAAGGGGCGGCCAAAACCTAACTGTTTTAAGCTTATTATAGACTCTGCCAGTACGTCCGCCAAAACTCGACAAAGAGCAATGAGCTCGATGAAATCTCACAGGAATCCTGTTCAAGTTCATGATTTGCTGTTTGAAATTCAGCATTGCGGGGTTACGGCTTCTTAGAAATCAGTCGTTCTGTTCAACTGAAAGCAAGTAGGCTTCTACTCTGCTATCACAAGAGGAGGGTTTGCAAAATGAGCAAAATATAAATATCATTACCGATAAATACCTCGTTTTAATGTTTGGATGTTTATTTTGGTTGAGTGCGATTACGAAAAGAAACAAGGCACGAAAAAACAGATGTGGTTAATGTACATATTGTATTATTGCGCCGCTAGACAGAAAATATCCATAGCTTGCAGTTACACAACGTCATATACGGTCTCCGTATGTTGAAAAAAACAGAAATAAATAGCGTCAGTCAAAACGCGACATATTTCAGATGTTTTTAATAGGGTGGAATCTTGAATAATTTGTTGTATTTGCAAACGTTCAAAATCTTAACAAATATCATTCGAACACTAATACTCTCATCTTGCACTACCGGAAATGATTTTTGATAAGTTGTCACGTCACCCATTATGACGATATCGGGTTAAAAGAAAATTTCTCGACTGTCTTGGTTAGTAAACTAACAGGGCTTGCCTTCTGGGAAAAATCGGATACTGCACAATATAATGGGTTCATGGTACTTCATACATGCTTAGGATTTATGCTAACTTTAAGGTCGAACACAGTCTAGTTCTGAAGATGTTAAAGTACAGAAGTAACATTTTTCTCCGTGCAGCATTCAGTGGACGCAAATTTGTGAGCTCTACGAACGCTAGGCAAATTTTCATTTTGCACAACTGTTCGCCAGTTTGCAAAAGTTCCACTGTTTCTTTTCCGGCCAGGCAACAGAATTAGCAGTCAACCGGAATTTATGAGGAGCTCTATAGACAGGAACATATAATAAACTTCCCCATTTCAACATAATGCCAAAACAGTGGAAAGCAACTTTCTTTGTAAGAACTGAATTACAGGCTTAAAAAAAACCAATTTCCGACACTGTCAAGTGTTCAGTACGACCTGCTTATTACTAGTACCTTTTGATCTGCTTCGAGGGCGTTCAGAGTATAAAAGTGCATTGGGCCTCGAATAGCTAGCTTACAATACTGACACCTTCCAGGATATGTATCTTCTAATTATATTGTTTTGTGAAACGTTGACATTACTGAATGTAAAAGCGAAGATAGAAAATAGGATAGGTGTTTACCAACATTACCAAATTAGGCATTATTGAGTCGGAGGTTTCAGGAAAGTCCTTTTACTCTGACATCATATCTGAAGATCAATGGAGTGTTTACCTGCCTATTAGCAGCCATGTTTTATAACAAATAAAACACATCAGTAAAACAGGTTTTGTTTGCTCTGAAGCCTAGCTCAACGAGTCCAGGCGGAATTCTATTTTACTTGTTACTAAACCGCAGGATAATCCCCTTAAAGGTAGTTAGTAAAAATGGCTATGATTCGTTGTGGAAAGCCGAATACTTTTTAAATGCTTTAACTGCATTCAATTTAAGCACTAATACTGAATATTTGTAGGAAGCACAATTAGCAAAATTACACAATTCTATAGAACCGCATGTTATGCGTTTAAGGTCACGAGGGAAAACAAAAAATGTGTTCGATGTTTAGGGTGGCACGTGAGGAAGGTGCAATAAATATTTCAAATCTCCGAACAATTTTAGATGACAAACTTTGAAAATTCTAGACTGAATCAATTTCATTAGACCATCGACTCATATGATAACCGGTATGTCAAAATGTCGATGAGTCTTATAAGTCTTCAAAAATGTTGTAAACGAAGCAATCAAAATTTCTTGCTAAAAATATAAGAACATAGGAAAAGAGGACCATAGATCAACTTTTACAAACAGTAACGGGCAAAAAATTTTCTTCTTCTCTCTCACCAGGGAATTAGATTAATCGTGTATTTACCGACGTTTGATCGCATTAATGGCAAAAAATATTCTTATTATCTTTCTTTCCGCACAAATAAATAAAATCCTGGCAAGGCTCAGTGCCAATGGAGAAGTCAGCGACTGTCTTTTATGGGAAATTCACTGACTAAGCTGTGCTCATTCTTATGGTCTGCTGAAGGTGCAGAAATCAAACATGCAATCTGGCATTTGCCCTTACTACGTGGCACTTCCATGCATGATTCGACAAATTGTATGTTTAATCGTCTTTGGTTTCTGGCCAAGAGAACTCCAAAGTCAGTAGCTCCCGCTAATCGATTCCTTGCACATATAAACACCCTGATCTGGAACGTGATGGTTCGCATCATCGCCATTTCTCAACACATTACGAATTAACTACTGCCCAAGCGCCATTAGAAGAGTAACGTCTTTGAAATCGGAATATCTCCTCGGACCCCTACAGTACGAATCTAAAACCTATTCCAATTATCACCGACAGATGTATGAAAAAATTAACGTTACGCTTATGGTCTCCCCCAATCAGGCTTAACTGCTGAAGTGTTCATTCAGCGGTTTGAACACTCGATGATCGCTAACTTGCAACTAAAGTTCTGCGCTTGTTATGCCAACGGCACTTTTTATTTGTCTAAACAACTCCCCTGGCGACTCTTAAGAAATGGCTTAACTCGGTCGGGAGAATATCCGATTTACGACGGAACCCCAAACAAACAACTAACTTTCTTGCGTTGACGGCCTTGTGTGCCGATGTGCAGCTGAGAAGCTGCGACTTGCAGTATTCAGAAAAACCACTAGGGCAATACATATACTAAACTTTAACAGCAGTTCCCTAACCTCCACAGGTGTAGCTACGCACACGCTATTACGACGAGTAGAAACACACTTCAGCACACCAGTCGACAAAAGGGCTGGACGGCTGTATTTTCCTAAGCTCTTTATGGCCAGTAGATACTCGTGCTACTTTACCAAAAAAGCAGGCGCTGATCGAACGGACAACAACCAAGGAAATGGGAATCCGTTCTCTGGAGGATTATTTCCTACATAAAACGATTCGTTGAGGCAGCCTCTTGACTGTTTATACCAATTAGAATATACGTGTTCAGTCGACCCTTCTGGTAGTTTTATACGAACTAAGCACACACGGACACTTACAGAAATCTTTGCAGGTGTCTACAAAATATTTTTATGATAGAAACAGCAAACACTCTGGATCTCTGGACTAGACCTCCATACTCGCCTACCAGAGCAAAAAACTGTGAGCTCTGAGGCTAGACCCAGACTTTCAGTTTACAATGCATACTGGATAAACCGGTTCTGAGTTTCACCTTCTAGAAGCAACTAGCTCGAGCCAGGGCAAATCAGGGGCATAATTAGTTACTTTTAAGATGCAGTGCTCAAACACGAACGAAATCAGCAGATATTTTGATCGTCCAGTGCAATTACAAAGGCAAGGAAAGGAGCGTGACGACCACGCTTTACTTAAAAAATTAAGCAGTATCTACCCAAACTCGCTAACAAGGGAATAAAGATGTCATTAGCTCGAACAACTCTACAGAGGCTCAAATTATCTTTACTTAGTTTACAACTAATAATGTTAAATAGTTACGAGCCAGCCAAACATGCGCAAATAGCTCAAGTCAGCCAAAAATGACAAAAGTCGATGCGCCTATTGCCGACACGCTCGGCATGTCATTAGAATTCTTGTTTGACGTTTTACACTTAAGATCTTGGCGATTTTGAGTTAAACAGGCTCTACAAAACATCAGAAGCATAATGAATTTTCTCCAGCCCGCTCTTTTATCACTTCAAATTTTCTTATTTAGATAACCCCGTACAGACTTTTTATGGGTTCTGGTGAGAGGCAAAAACCCTCTTTGTTACTTAGTAAATGTCTCATTCAGCGCGATAGTCAGGCCTTATATTATGCACTCAGAACTTTTTTGGTAGAAAAGAGAAACGAACTTTCAAATTCCATATCGGATTCATGCACGCACGCGTCATGAAATATTTTTTGTTTCTCCTTCGGAACTATATAAGGAAGGAAATAGTTTGAAAACAATAAGATAATACGGAACTTAAATAAGAATTAATAAACTGTTTTTGCATGTCGCATGCGAAATTTCTGGCCAATTTCTAGCTTGGTTAAGGCATTTAAAGCCACTTTCGGACATGAATCGTGCACCGCAATTCCTAATATTCCTAATGTTTCGGTGAAGTTTGCTTTACGTTCCCTTTAGCAAATCATCTTACATGAACTTTTTGTTACTAACCAGCTGTGTAAATCTTCATTCGCCCCTGTAATTCAGTTAGTCAAAATGCAATAAGCACTTTTAGTCGACAGACAAAGACGTACGTTATGAATGAATGCAAACATATAAATCGCCATTAAGCTACTCAAGGCAATCCTACGCAAACAAGCTTCCATTTTCGACGTTTTACTAATATCACCCTGCGCCTCACGATAACGAGTATACTGGGTAATGCTTTCGCAGTGGTAGTTACATATAATTTCATGGCTGAAGGTCCCTTGTTGGTATCTGCTATCCGGATACCATAACGGAAGAAATCTAGTAGCACACACAAATCCAAAGCACTTCGTTATGACAATGACAAGGTATCGTCGGATTCACCAATCAAAACAGACAGCTGACGAATTTCAAACATTGACGTCGTTTACTTAAAAATAGAAATAGAACAAAATCCAATAAACTTGCATTAAGGTAGGACTTTAATTAGGCTGTTTATGATTTACAAGGCGAACTTTGGGGTGTCATATAATAGTCTTTAAGCAAGCAGATAAAACTGACCTTCTGTCATCTTTTTACCCGGGTTGCTGTATCTTCCCCTACTTTCTGGCGTTTTCGACTAGCAGTTTTGATGGCATGCCGTTGAACATTAAGGAGATGTCACGGAACAGTATTATCTGGCTCTCAGTAATGTGCACTCCTGCAGTATATGCGTGACCTTTGGAATCTAGCTTACTATGGTATCCGAGCGAAGAACAATAAACCCTAGGCATAATGTTAGCATCAATATCGCCAAAGTAAATTTCCAGAAGCGTGCACCTAACTGCTGAACCAAAAATACGCAAAGCGCAAATGAAAAACAAATATAACGTTTGCGCTTCCTGCTACCAAACAAGCAAAAACGGGCTTTGTACCGTGGTGCTAGCAAACATGACGCAGACTGGTTATTTCTACGTTGACCAAATATGCACGGTCCAAGTTGAAATCAAATGCTGAATACTGAGCCAAGTTCTCAAAATGAACAATCTACTGGGTGCCGTTGTATGGGTTCGCGGAAATTCAATGATCGGTCGGTTTTCTTTTCATATTTTTATATAGAAAGGAATCTGAAAGAATGTACACACATTAACAGTTTTGGCACTTCATCAAGTTATGAATTTACATAAAATTACCCGTTTGTTTTTAAGTAATCCTGGTATATTTTTGGTGCTACGATCCATTTCCAGCAACAGTAACTCTCGTGATAAATAGTATACATTTCGGCAGTGACAGAACGCACTTGTTTTTAAAATATGATCGGAAAGTTAGCAGCATATGTTTGTCCTAATGTTGACGGGGCTTTACCCACACCAAGTGCTTTAGATGTACAAAAGTATTCACGACTTTCCGAAAGAAATGAAAATATGCAATACCACACAACCACACGTTCCGAATGCCCGAAACGCTGAAGAAAATGAGTTTTTATTCGGCAAGTGTCCATTTTGGAATTGTATGTGTTGCTTTAGCCATTCATAAGTTTTGTTACAACGTCTTTTTCTATATTCTTCCTACTCCTCAGTCATAATACTAAAGAAGTTACCTGCAGCAAAAAGCTGATTTCTTTTTTTAGGTTTTCTATGTCACCACTTCTGAGAAATGTGTATTTATAAAAACAACTCGAAGTATTCGCAAATCTCGTTTAACAAAGTTTAAGCTTTTTATTTAATGGTGATTGTACACAGTTGTGTGATGTTGTTGGTGCCATTTTACGTAATTTCCTACACTCTTTTTTCATTGTATTCCTTCACTATGAATGCTAATTGATACTCCATAACTTCACCAACGGCCATCAGAATAACCAATAACATGGCTTTTTATTTTTTACTTGGTATTTGCTTAAATTTTGAGACGGAATTTCATTGTCATTAAGCAATTTTAATAATTAGAAGGTCAGTATTAAATATTTTTGAATGCATGGGACTAGCCTACCATAATTTCGACAGAGATTCATTGCTGACGTTTTGAACGAAAGTCTTGTAGATTTCTTGCCCGCCTTATCAGTTAACTGTTAACAAACGTTCTTATCACTGCGTCTTCCGTATGGTACGTTTTTATCCCTTTGGTGGCCAGATTATAAATTTCGAATGGCTAACTCCATCGTAATTGTACCTGTTTCTTGACCCTGAGTTACGTGATTTTGTGCCAAACAACTCTCACATTTGAGATATTTGTTCGAAAACAGTCGGGACAACATGAGAGAAAACTGCCCTATATGCATATGTGATAGGTCTTATAAGGATGCTGTCGGATAGATTTGCGGTAATGCATATGCAGTCAATTCTCGCCCGCTTCGAGTTTTTAATAAACCGCAATTATAAGAGAATTATGATAAAAATCTAAGTCTACGTATTCTATTCTCAAGCATCGGAAAGAATGCATTTTGCTGAACGCCATATCATCTTGTAGTTAATCACATCCTACACATATGCACGTACAGTAGGTAAGCTATCTTATGAAATGTCAACCAAAATTCCGAAGTGCGTTTTCATTCCGAAAAGATTGATTAAATAGGGTTGTAAAACTGATGCTCATGTAGCGCTATAATACGATAATTCAGTTACCTTAGGATGCCGGTTTTTCAGATAAACTTCGCTCGGGCTCCATATAGAATTTTTACACTATGAAAAATGATTACTAAAGTGGTATGCATTTGTCATTGATTTTCGATGTCTTTTAACGTTCAATTATGTTTCATGGAAAGAATGCATACAAATATCCATCCTTCTACTCATTCAGTAGAACATTGCGTTTTCTTCCAATTTTATTCTCGAAGAAGGGCATAATTTGGTTTTCAAAACCTTCCCAATTCCCAAATAATTTTGAATCCGATCTGCTGTTACACTTGGATTCAGGACATTCAGATTACAAACCGTATATTTTCACTGTACGGAAAACCATATATTCCCCTATGGTAGTTAGAGTAAATTATATGAGGTTTATAAAATTTAGCGATGGATTTGAGTTTTATTGTTAACATTATGAGCTACATTTGGAAATGCGGAGACATGACGCTTTATAAACCGGCATTTTACGGTACTAAAACAATCTTACAATTAGGAACTTTTTATAAACCAAATTATATTATTTCTCGAAATATAAAATTGGCCGAAGATGTCACCTTCTATCGCATGAGCAGAAGGATGGATATTTCTACGCATGTTTTTCATAAAATATAATGAGATGTTTAAGGGCATCTAAAACCAACGAGAAGGATATATGCTACTTTAGTTGACTTTTACATAATTTGATTTTTACATGCGATCCGAAAGAGGCGCGTTCGAAAGCCGGCATCCTGAGGTAACTGAATTATTATAGAACAATGCTACACAAAAATCAGTTTTACAACCCTAATTAATTAGTCTTTTCGGAACGAAAGCACATTTCGGAATTTTTGCTGGCATTTCATGAGTTAGTCCACCTACTGTACAAAGAGCTAATTTGCTAGAGTCTAACTGACCGATCGAATGTCCGCAGCAATTACACACTGCTCTTGGGTTTATGCATCATTTTAAAACGCTGGCGCTGACCCGGAGGGTTTGATAAAATTAAGCATATTTGACCGGTTGTGATAAAATTTACTGGAAGGCAAAAAATATTTTTGCGTTTTATGATTATAACTCGGCCAGACAGCGCGCTGAAACACTTATAAAATCCGTAGTTTCGGGACCTAGATTATTCCCAGCTTTAAAACAGAAATTAATTTAAACTTTTATTCGAGGATGAAAATGTGATTTTTCCGATAAACATCATCCATTTCCGAAAATATATTGGTTTCTCATAAGCAAAATAAATATTTTTCTAGGCATGAATGTGTACTTCATATATTAGTCCATCTAAAAGGTTAAGGAGTAAGGTACTGTTCCTAGAAGGCACTTTTGTCCTTTTTAGCTAAAATGACGAATTCGTTGTAGTAACAGAAGTCTGTATAATACATGTTGTTAAAAATACTAATGACAACGGCTTTCCAACTTTAAGCTTGCTCATAACCTAGAGGGGCAGCCGTGGACAGGTAACAAAAATCATGATTAACGTCAATGGATTCCAGGGTAAAAAATAGTAATATAAATGTCAGGGGTAGGGCACATTCACGACAGAGCTAACCAATTTATCATTGAAATTTAAATTTCGAATTAAAAAAGGTTACGAATGGAAGAGTATATGCGTATAACAGGTTCCTGTTTAAAACAAGACAAAGGTACGATCACTGGGGCGGTAGCTTTATGGATTTAAGCTTTCGAACTCTAACAGGAGTTCATCACCAGATACTGTTAGAGTACAGCAACGTGGAAACATTTATACGGTTGTGCCGTGAGGTGGGATTACGTTCGTGGCTAGATCTGGTCTGTGCTGCCTTGCCCACAATGGTCCCCCGGTGTGGTGACGGCGTTTTTACTTCGCGCCGATGTGAGCTGCGCCACCTGGCTGCGTGGGCGGAGCGCATGATAACACGCCGGCAAATCAATGTGTCTATTGATGGAGTTGGTGTCCGACACCCACGCTCCCAGCAGTTCTCGCCCGTCCCGTTGCTGGCTCGTGCCAGGCACGTTTACCAGAAAAGACGAGGAGACTGAAAAATTATCCCTCTTTGACATGCCTGTCACGCGCACATCTGATGGTAAACTCAGTACTACGGTGTACAGAAAGCCGACCAATACAACCCAGGTTCTTAGTTATCATAGCATCCACTCGTTGGTGCACAAATGGGACTGTGTGAGGGCACTTTTCGACCGAGTAAAAACGCACTGTAGCGAGCCCGAAGGAGGTATACAAAAAGTACGGCATCTCAGGGACCAATTGACAAAGAAAGGCTACTTAAATGGTTTAATCAGCCGCTGTATATGCACGCACCCACGACAGACAAACGGAAAGGAGACACAAACAATTTAGCACTCCATACAGTACAAAAAGAACATGTCCGAGGCCGCATAACGCATTGCCTCAAAGTTAGGCGTGGGCAATGCTCATCATCCGGCGGCTACCATGCGTAGCCAATTCATGAAAATGAAGAATCGGCTGGACGCAGGTGGGCAGTCGGGCGTAGTCTATAAAATCCCGTACCATAACTGTCCTTGCCATTACACAGATAAAACAGGACGACGTCTCTGCTCACAAATACTTGAGCACAAACGGACCGTCCGGAGAGGCGACCAACTATCTCAAGTCGCCACTCCCATGCTGGAGTAAGGCCATGAATTCGACTTCGTCAACACGCGGGTAATGGCACGAGCCAGCAACAGGACGGGCGAGAACTGCTGGGAGCGTGGGTGTCGGACACCAACTCCATCAATAGACACATTGATTTGCCGGCGTGTTATCATGCGCTCCGCCCACGCAGCCAGGTGGCGCAGCTCACATCGGCGCGAAGTAAAAACGCCGTCACCACACCGGGGGACCATTGTGGGCAAGGCAGCACAGACCAGATCTAGCCACGAACGTAATCCCACCTCACGGCACAACCGTATAAATGTTTCCACGTTGCTGTACTCTAACAGTATCTGGTGATGAACTCCTGTTAGAGTTCGAAAGCTTAAATCCATAAAGCTAACGCCCCAGTGATCGTGGCTTTGTCTTCTATCAAAAATGTTTGTTAATAAAATTGGATCCCTGGAATAAATAGGAAAATTAATTTCAAAACTATTTAAACGCTTAGTTCAAAAAGAGTACTTAACCAACTGCCCTATACATTAACTAAATGCCTAAATGTGTGTTTCGTCACTTCTTTGCTATTTACGAAGCACACACGTGGTATTAGGCTTCGGAGTGTTGAGGGTGCAAATGCCCAGTAAATATTTAATTCGTAAACCATTTCCTTTCCTGCGTTGGTTTACCTTCAAAGAAACGGCTAAAGTTTTACTGGTTATTTTGCAACTACACTCGATAGTGTTAGCAAAAAATATGGATTTCACATCGCAAAAGGCCTGACTTGGGAGTTTAGCGGAATATATTTAATGATGATCAGCAAGCGAGACTCCTAAGCTAACTTGTGTCTATTCTTGTTCATCATTGTTGTCTTGGAGGTTAGTAGATCGTGGGAGCGTACATTCATGTCACTATGGTTTGAAAACTATTATGCAATCTAAATATTCTTCCGTTTATCTAGTGAGTAACCTACACAGACAGGGTTGAATGAGTTCGTATGGGTTAAATAAAACCCTCAATTTCAATCATTGTCAGATTTCGGAAACCCATCTTCCATTTCAAATGAGCGCAAGTGGAAAATTCAGCGTGCTATCGTTGAATGACGCTGGCCTGTTAGGAGCAATATTTGAATCGCATTCCAAGTACTGGACAGAGTATTTATGAGCATGCATGGAGTCAGCATTCATCAAATCCCGAACAGCATTATTTCCTAGAAAAAGCAAGTTGTAATAAGTCCTACGGAGAACAAACTACGAAATTAAAGTCGCCAATGTACACATGAACTTATAAGAAATAAAACGTCAATATCGCAATGATGACACCTACAGGTCTAACTTTCGTCCAAGTTATTTGTGAAACCTGTGAAAGGTCATGCAGGAGGTACTTGTGGAGGCCCGGATTACACTTAATAGGGCCCAATTCCTGCGTAAAACTTTTACTTGCATATCGTGAACTTCCTAAGAAAAACATGTAATGTTTACATATTATAATCTAGCAACAATGTTTGTCTCTATAGAAACTGTGTTTGCAACATTTTTAGATTCGGGACTTTCGAAATCGCAGATATGTTTCGTATGTTTTCTGCTACTACAAGACGCAACTATATGTGTTTTGTCCTGTCAGTTTGTTTTCTAACTGGCATAGCCTCAATATGGATACGAATACTTCAAAAAGCGCCTCATCAACGTTTTTTACTCCAGGCCAATTGGATGCATCTAATGAAGCTGGCAAGACTTCTGAGATTAGCCCGATTATTCCAAAAAATCGAACGGTACTCTCAGTACAGTGCTGTTGTGCTCGGACTATTGATGTGCATGTTCTTTCTCCTGGCTCATTGGTTTGCCTGTGGCTGGTACAAACTCGGACGGACCGAAGTTATGAACGTGGCTATACGGAATCACAGTAAGTATTTCAGACGGTAGGATGCATAGTTCTCTATGGTATTCTGTGTTGCATTACTCGATAACTGTCACTGAAAGATGCGATTATAAAATGTCTCTAAAGAACAGTGCTTTAGTGATCCTGCGACGCTAAATCATCAAGGATGTTTTCAGCGTGATCCCATCTTTGTAGAATAGTGTTTTTCTCCTCCATTGTGCATTCAATTGATACATAGCTAATTTGGTTGATTTTACTGAAGTGATTCCTGACCAGTAGATGGTAGCGCTGGAATATTGGGGGTCTTTTTATATGAAACTTTTAATTAGTATCAAGGGTTCTTCCATAAAAACACCATACAGTCCACAAACAAACACGTGTGATATAACGACTACTAACTCAAAGTGTTGGACGTAAATGGAACGAAGACGAATATTGTAATATTCAGTTTATATAAAGAAGGGCCCGATTATAAGGCCATGTAGAACGGCTATCATGTAGCTGACGTCCTTTCAAAGCGCAGTAAATATGTGCAGTTAATACAAATGGAAATGGATATATGAAAGGCAAACTCATATCCCCCTATATCACACATATGCGTCGACTGTGCATTCACAAGAGTTTTCTTAAATTTTTGTGCATTTCAAAGCTAGATTTGGTCTATAATGTTTGTAACCATATAGTGAGTTAATAAAGGGCTAAGACTTTAAATAGTTTTTCTTAGGCCGCACGTCGGTACAGGAGGCTGATGTCCGCGAATCGCAAAGGAACTCTTTCGGACAGCTGCCGTTTTGCGTTGTAACTAAACATTAATTATAGATGCTCTGTGCGATTTTCCGAGGGGAGGTATTTAAAAATAATACGAATTAATAAGTTATTCTTCCGTAGTTTCTACCATTCAGTGCCTATTTTGTCTGCTTGGTTGTTGGGTAAAATGTACAGTATAAAACATCCAAAACATCAATGAAAGGCGTTTTTAAGTCTGCTCCTACAGAACGTATTTCGCGGTACTTTTCTACATTAAAATGTATCTGTTCCCCGTACACATAAATAGCTAACCGCTCAGATTCAATTTCAATGGATGTCAGCTTAATATAAGATTTGACGCTTAAAGGAGCACATTTAAATAAGCGAGACACATAATAACCGTTTGTTTTATTTTGAATTAACTTCCTTTTTCTGACCTAAGTCTGTCAAATTTTCTCGCAACACACCTTCATACCTGACTCTGTTTGTGTGTTCTAAGCACCGGTAATAGCATAATGTTCAGAATGCATTTCTAAAAAGTATACTTTTTAGTCTTGAAGAATTCCGTTTCCAATAAAAGAAAACACGATCCGCAAAGCCCTATTATGGTTTCTAAATGGAATTAAGGCACTTTTGATAAGAAAAATAGCTGTGTATTGAATGTTGGTACCAACGTTCGTGAACGCAGTTTGCTTTCCGAAAATAGGGTTTTTATATCTACTGCCATGTTCCTGTCCGTGCTTATGGTTAAGAATGCGTACCAATACGACTGTTGGTTGTACGAGTCTGAATAGTTATGTGAGCCGAGTACAAAGTAGTGTTGCTTTTTTAAAGTAGAATCCCATAAAATTGCCAAAAATGGTATTTAAAAAAAGTCCCTACCTCAGCATTATATTTGAGCAAGCTATTTTATTCGGACTTACAATACTTTCGAAAGAATCAATTGAGAAAGAAATTTTCGAAGGATATTGTCTTTCTTACTTTCGTAGGCGTTTAAGTCAAAACACGTGCAGGTGCCTAATTTTGCAGCAAACCTTTTTTGAAAATATAGGCAAATCCTCTATCGTTTTTGTATACACGATGAAACAAGCTGCGCTGTTTATATACTGGTAAGCGGCGGTCTGCTTGCTTCTCCTCTGGCGTATTGTTCCACCTTCCAAAAAGTTGGCTGAAAACAGCATCCCCCCAAAGGTGCTGGTCACAATGGATTTGCGGCACAGGCCATAACTGCGCTAATTCGTAGCAACAGCTTCTGTATATGCGCTTTTGGTCTCCCCCATTGTGTCCTCGGCATTAGTTTAATCGGCAGTGGTTGGCTGACGTGCGGACCATAACAGTTATATACTCCTGAATTTAGGCCCGTTAGGCTCTCGAGAAAGTTTCCTAGCTTAATATCTCTAGTTTGTTGATGGATCAACTGAGGTACTCCGTTTTGACTGGCTTGCCCATATGTCGCCTTTGTTGTCATTATGGAAACGAGGCAAATGCTCTGAAAAAAGCTACTTGGTGAAATTCATAAGAGCAATTTAGTTCGACGTCCTCCAGCAGTTCATAAAAGAATAAGTTTATTACGTCACAGCACTTTTGGTTGCTTCTTAAATGTGTCATTTGCTGGTGAAACGTAACCAGACTCTCTATGGGCAGACGCAAAATACGACGTGACTCGATGAGGTAAAGCAAACTAGGCCTACTGCATAGCAAGTAATGACGGAAAAATAGAAGGAGCGAATCATAGTTACGTTGAGTGGGAAGCAAGCTGATGCGAATTAAAATGCGTTTATTTTCAAAATAAATCAGTTTTTGCGGCGCGGACAAGTCACTTCCACAGGATGCGTGTAATTTTGTGAATTTGAAGTACCAGTCCCTATCGTTTTCAATGAATCTCCACGGAGATCATTTGGCATAAATGGAGTGGATGGGCTCACCGAGTACACGCCAAACGAGAGGAATATAACTATGTTTCTCGGACTGAGAAAAATTTAAGCATACATTTAGACGACTTCCAGTTTGTTCCCTAGTTGTGCAGTGCACGAACATTATGTTTGTAAGCTGCATTTCTAGGCAAGCATCGAAAGGTGCCTGCAGGGCCTCTTTTGTTGCTCAGATGTTGGAGGTATTCGTAGGTTTGGTAGATAGAAAATAGCCCACATATAGGTTCTTCAGATGAGGAAATCTTGTTTGTAGAACTGATAACGCTGACACAATCCTTAAACCCTTGGCGTCCGATGTTTTCATTAACTTTACGTCACATATGACCATCGCAATTTCCAATGCTTCTAGTTTGCTAACTATCGTCGTTACGTACTGTTGCAAAAAAGAGTTGTTTAGTTTGCTCTCGGCTAAACATTGCATGCATTAGATTCTGGTATTCTCGAGTGCACATCTACAAGAATGAGTGTCCTATAAGTGTTAGGGGGCGCACACCGATCGTTCTTACGGAACCCACTCGTTCCGTTGTGCCTTATGGATTCTCTCTCGAGCCCAACCAGCAGCAGCACAGCGGCGCATGATATAGGCAGAATGATATTACCGACGATCAATGAGTGCCCCCTAACATTGTGTATTCCCGATCGAAAACCGACAGGGCAACGGGCTCGTGGCTCAGTAGTTAGAGACGAGGACTTCTAACAAGCAGGTCGCGAGTTCGAGCCTCGGGTGTGCCGCACTTCGGGGTTGGGTATGACTGGCTGACGACGGATAATAAGCCAGAAATGGCCATTCCAGTCTCCCTTGCCATTGTCGGCAATATCATTCTGTCTTATAAGGTAATTTTATTCCATTCTTACCCCATAGTTGAACCGCGCATCCAAGTTCACCTTATCATGCTAACCTCTAGAATACTTTTACTATTAACGATGACTGCATCATCGTCTACCTAACTCCTGCGTGGTTTATCTGAGTCATACTTGTCTATAGGGGATATGCAGGTGTAAAAAGGGTTCAGACTTAGTGTTCTTCCGATCATAAGGAATTTATAAACCAAAAGTCTTCGAACTATTTTCTCGACACCGAAATTTGCATTTCATGAGTGTTAGTCTTTTTTGCTTATGCACGTGCCAATGAGTCTGGCTGCAGGTATTTTCCCTTTTGATAGCCTAACTTACCGATTATATCACTTCACAGTCTCAGTGAGATTTTTACTTATAAATTAAGGCTGGTTATACGAACTATCAGAAAGAACGCAAACTCATTTTACTGCCAACATGACAGGTGGGCCAAGTCCCAGCAGTGTTTACGTTTCCAGCCTCTACTTCATGATGAGCAGTTTAACAAGTGTGGGGTTCGGGAACGTTTCTCCAAACACAACAAACGAAAAAATCTTCTCCATCATCGCCATGCTTGTTGGAGGTACATCCTTAATCTTTTTGCATGCCATATTTAATAAACATTCTATTTTTTAGCTTATGTGGTATGAATACCCAGGGTACTAATCACCGTTTTTATTGAAATTTTTATTATACCTGCCACCAAAGATTTGCAATCGCAAATCAGCACCATTTTGGTTTTCCGATTATATATCGGCTTGATGCGTTTTTTTCTGTTTAGCTCATTAATGCGGTATTTTCTGCTGTTCTCAGTTGTACAGTCATTTAAAGTTAGAATCAACCCATTGATAGCACTATTGTTAGTAATTGCAAATAATATTTTATTTATGATAAGGGTACTAAACTAAATTATACAGACTCCATGCTGACTATAAGTTTATGATTTACCGCGTTTTGGTTCGACACAACTATACTTCTAAGATGTAACCTCTCTACTAGACGTCTACTCGCCTTCACGAAAAGGCTATTTGCTAGCTGAACTTCGCTCTAATTAAAACGAATTTTTTGGGGATAATAAATGCCACCGGGCTAGGGGTCTCAGCCCAATTTCTTAAAACGAGTATTTGGATATAAATATCCCGCTTTGGCTGCTCATCCAAAAGTAGTTGGACAATAGATGGACCTTGTAGAATAAAGGCACCCTACGAACACATAACTTGCTTTTCTTGCAGCAATCATCTGACAATGGGAAACTTGTTCTTATAAGGATTTACTATACAGTACTTTTATTTTACTGTCACTGTTTGTTTGTACTTATTTCGATAACTCAGGAGCCCATAACGAGGGATATTTGAAAAGGTGGCTGGAATATTCAATGACGAATGCAGTATTTTACAAAACACATAATATTATCTTTCGGTGTAATACCTATACTGGAATGTAAACTAAAACGAACCTATCCCCAGAGAATTTTGAATAAAGAAAAATACGACTGATTAGGTAGCTCTGTGGTCAAAAGTACAACTAACGTGCACGACCCAGGGTCCATCGACCATCAGTAACATTTCCTTGTCGCTTCCGTCGGGTTATTGTAAATGTTTGTCAGTGTATCGGTTTCTTCTAGGACATAGTTTTCAGAAACCATAAAAAGCCCTCTTTTTAAACACATTGATATCTCCCTCTACGAGACAGAAAATCGAAAGTTTAAATATATATGAGACACACACTGAAACATACTGTTGCAGGAGTTTATTTTTCAGATGAAAAGAAATATTATAACGTAAATAAAAGGCGTTTTCTATGGACATGCACTTTGCCATACGCATCTTAATGTTGACGTACAACCAAATGTAATATTTTAATAAAATTCGACGTATGACGCGCCACGTACAGGAATATTTGTTTCGCATGCGCACGTGGGCCAGCATATACTTTGCATTTTCGCGCCAGATTGAACACTTTGGTAAGTCCAACTGGAAGGGATGTGTTAAGCCCTTAAATCTTATGGGTCTCTGATATATGGTTTCATTTACATGTCATTTGGGGTCACTTGGAAGCCAAGCAAATAGAGAATCCTAGTTGATTTTTTTATCATGAGCAATTTTTCATTCAGTTATCGTCTGTATACACTTGGATTCATTGAAGCATCTAATGCGGACCAGCGTTGGCCATGAGCCATAGTTAAAGAATAGAAAGGGTTTTGCCGCATATGTCTGCTGCGTTTACGAAAACATGTTTTTGATGTAATTCAAACATTTTTATTCACTTAACTCACTTGTGAAAATTTAGCATAAACAGAAGATGGCAGAATACTGTAGTCTTAGGCTGACATTTTAAACGGAAAGCTTCTTGCGTTTGTTAATGGACTCGGTGGTCCAATATGAGTATATAGGTGAGTGAGTATTATATGTGATCAAATTTAAAAACATTTTAACGTGGATATCTCGTGAGAAAGACTTCAAGATATTTTAATTCTTAATCGTTGATTTCCGCAATATTCTCCTCATCTGTATATGAACTATTCGATGTTTTGCTATATTTTTTCGGTTAAAAATTTAGATTTTCAAGATGTTTGAAGTAAAATGACTAGAATTGTCATACTTACTTTTTTGGTCTATCAATTTTTAGCTCTTATGCATGCGGCGGTGTTTGGTAACGTCACAACTATCATTCAGCGAGTTTACGCCAGACGTTCAGCGTATCAAATGAAGAATCAAGATCTGAAGGATTTTACTCGGGCACATCATCTTCCAAAACAGCTCAGACAACGAATGCTAGAATTTTACCAAGCGATGTGGTCAATTAACAGGGGAATAGACAAGCAATCGGTTAGTTTAGGTGGTAATGTAAAATGCGGAAATGTAAAAGCTTATCTTCTGTGCGAGATATTCAACTGACATTTCTTACAGATTTTCACGTCTGGTCAAACGTTTATAAGCAACGAGGCAGTAATAATAATAATAATTTCAGCCATTATTTTATCTCAAGTCCACGTAACTCATTTAGATTGCGGAATTTCAATTCCGACAGTTTATTTTTGCACAGCAATTAAATGTAAACTGCTAAATGACATTTCACTTCGACAAGCTACTCGTTAAACCCTATATATATATATATATTTCCTGAACCAAGTAACAATTCCTGCGCTAAAATCATTTCCAAGCAGTCTCCTACTGACCTTTAGAACTGGCTTTTTAGACGTTTAGGCTTTGCGCGCACAAATTAATAAAAGTGCATTCCTGCTGACGACATTTATATGATGGTTTTCAATTGTGGTCACTGGAGCGGTAAAAATAACATCAGCAGACGCTGCCGCTTTATATACGGAATTTTCGTTCTATAGTTGACATCACCGTTTATACCCCTCTGTAAAAGTAAATATGAAAAACGATTATGGTTGATTTTCTTATTTTTTGGAATGTCAATTCTGGTATAGTTTGTAAATCAATCTGACATATATGGACATTCATCATCACGCTTTTTAGTACCATATGATTCTTTAATCAGTTTTTGCAGGCAATTAGGTATTGCAAATGTTGGTTGCATTTATTTTTTTGATCTACATGTGCACAACACTATATCAGCGCTTCGATTCGCTGGATACACCTGTTGTTAATAATGTGCTACTGTTTTAAATCTTATAAAGCCACTAAAAGAGGAGTGATTTGGGTAAATTCAATCCCGATATTCTCGGTGTTCAGGGACCGCAGACAGCCGCAACTAGAAAAACTTCTCCGATAATTGACACCTTTCTGAAAACGCTAGTAACTGTGAATTTTGATGTCAAAAACGTCGAATATATCTGAAAATATCATCCTAAAATATATAGGCATTATTTATTGCGTTTGCATTGATATCAATATTTAAAAATAGTAAAAGAATTTTGTTATAAAAAGTATTTAGTTAGCAAAATGAGTAAGATATTGGCAAACATTTTAGATATGCTATAGTAAAAAAGAGATCTGCCGTTAATCAACCGCGAATAGGTCTCTGCAAATGTTTGCATTTTTTATCGGAATAGTTACGCTTCCTGGCCTTGAGGTCACCGTGCGAACTTTACGCGTTTATGTCCAAAGAATATGATGACATATCAGTAGCGTACCAAATATAATTTGTCACTACACTATGCCTCAGTATTACCTCTTAGCAGCATGTTTCCTTCAAGAAATGTAAAATAAAACGGAAATCTAACACGATATGCATTAGGTCAGAGCGTGTGTTTGGTGACAGCACAGCTCTATACAAGGACTACGGACTGTAGCATCTAAAGAGGGCGACTTTCAGGACGGTTATGCGACGCGTTTGGATGCCTTCAGGTGGTGTTCCCAAAATCCGGTGAACTAAAGCTATAGGTATAGTTATCGGTTCATTAGGTAAATACTTGACAAACAAACTCTCAGGGCCTAACGTGTTTCATTGCCATCACCCCGATCCACGAATGACAAGATATAAAAGTCGAAATCGAGGCTAGTCTTGGGGATATGCCCCATCCCAATCATACTCCATAGTTTGTATCAAAACATCCTGTGCTTTTCAAACGCTCTTCATACTTTTTCAATTGAACGTAGGTCTATTTTATGGCTTATTTGTCTTTAAAAATTCGGTTAAGCTACCATTTTGAAAACGTCCATCTGAACGAATCATACATGCACTGCAGCTAATCAAGGAACGAATCCGCTTCTCGAATGCCTTCCTAAAAACTATTAAACAACTCCTTAATAAAAGTCATGGTATTTTTGATTGAAAGTCCTTTGGTTTTTAAGTTATTCATTTCAAAATAGGTCTTCAGATATCCGGTATTAAAATACTAGTTTTCGTGTAATATACAAAGGAAACTGAAATGTTCTGTGCATTCTTAAAGTAGCATCACCGTTCTGTTATCAAAATTTTGTAGATCATGCAAATATTTCCGGAAGAAATGCGGGGTGATATTGCGCTTCATATAAACAGGGAGATCCTTAGTCTACCAATTTTTAAATCAGCAAGCATTGGATGCCAGATGAGCATTGCCCAACTTATCGGCACTCGGTTTTCAACGCCCGGCGAATTCTTAGTACACAGGGGAGATGCAATACGCTATCTACACTTTGTCTGCAGTGGATCGCTGGAGATCTTAGATGAAGATGGATCAGTTGTTGCTTTGCTTGGTAGGTATCCACTAGAGTTATATATGCACATGTTTTAGAATTTATTCGAAAGACCAGTTATCTCAGTTAAATAGGAATGAGTATTTTATTATGTGACTATAATTTAAAACTTTATTTAGGCTTATGTGTGGAAAGCAGGTGTTCACTTTACTTTCAGCAGCAGTCAAGGCGAAAGACTAAATGATACTCTGGCAAAACAGTTTTGTTTTACAGTCGACAGTAAGTTTAGTAGCAATTGCAGGCAGTATGAAAATAGAACATTTGTAAGTTGGAAATAAGCTGTGGGGCGTGCAAAAGTGCGTTCTAAGACTGTATCCAAAAAAGCAACTATCACGCGGATTAAAAAGACACCTGGCAAGTTTCCCGCAGTTTGACGCATGTGCGCCATTGTTTATTAATCAGCCGGTATGCAGCCTTAATGAAAATGCTTTCTGAACATACTGCAACCCTTGCGACCCACGATTCCGTCTGTGGCTGTCAGTGAAAATTCAAACAAAGGTTTATTGCATACAATAGATAAAATATTTCATAGTTTCCATTCGCGACTGCTCCTGTTCTTGTAGAACCTTCTGCCACTGGATTCGTGGGACATGGTTCACTTGTTCAGACAGGACAGTCAAAAAACTGAATACATGTGAATGACTGTCAGAAAGTTTAATTTTCATAAACACGATACAATCAGCTTTAATCATATAAATCAAGTACAAAGCACAATTTATTTTGCCTACAGTTGGTCGTAAGATAACCCTACCAGATGCGTTTTGCAAACCAAAGTTTAGTCGAATTTGGATTTTGTTCTTTACACCTTTACATTTTTTTACTAATTAGTGGTAATTGCTTGCAGTTAATTAGAAATCTCTTGCCGCATCCGTCTTACGGCAACTATTTCAAATGCCGAGTTCGGTAGCAGTTACTGCGAACTGTGCATTGAATATTTTTATCCGACTCCTTGGAATGCGCCAGATATGTTATGATACAAAATGTAAACATCCTAAATTCACTGTTCTTCTGATTATTTCTGAGGACTTTGGGCCCAACTCGATCGACCAAAATCGATCCAAAATCTGGGAGAGATTTTGATGGAAATGCTGAACTAAATAGGCTTTCGATAAGAGAAAGTGCCAACAAATATATAACTTATCTTCAAACAGCCGGTGATTCTTTCCGGCGTAGGGCAGTTGAGGTATACTGAATCTCAACATTGAGAGGTTATACGTGTCAGGTCTTACTGTAGCAGATAGATATTCTACGACCCCATCCGGAAGAGGAGAAAGATACAGTTTTTAGTACTTGGCTGGACATTGAATAAGGGACGTATTTATCAACGTTTCATGTTTAAAAATATAATTCAACTGAGTGCATGCATTTACACTGCTGCAAGATGTATGCACATGCTTTAATTAAAGTTCACAATTACGGATTCTGGACAATTCCGATGTCATAATACTTTTTAGCGTCTTTCTAGCGGTTTTTTAGTTTTTGACTACAACTGGCTAGCAGCGTGGGCAGGCAGAAGATATAGCAATGGCTGTTTGATAATGAACTACGTGTTGACGCGAATATTACATGGTAGAAGAGAGTGCAGAACTACCAGAGCATTGATATGTGGGAATTTTGGAGTGAAAACAAATACTTTTAGCTGAATAAGAAAACAAGAAAAAACACAAAATTGAAACAAAAAGCTAAGTCAAAAGACCTTTAAAAACACCAGGTAGTTCTGACGTTTGGGTTTGTTTGGTTATTTGGTCGCTAGCTCCTTTCAGAAATTATGATAACCTGCACTAGTTTGAAGCACAATACCTGTAAGTCGTGTTGTCTCGAGAATCCACGCATACTAAAACACATATTCAAATCAAATCGTCTGAAAACAATAATGCGCAGATGTCATTACGTTTAAAATGTATCAGCTAAAGAAAGGTTGAGCAACAAGCCACCCCTTAGGCCGCTTTAAGACAAGAAAGGTCTTTGCAACTATTTTTTTACTTTTTCAGTGCAAATTGCAGTTTTTAATTTTTCTGTGCACTTAATAGATATTTAGTCCTTTGCTGTTTACGATACCTTAATAATAGCTTAATTACCTAAACTTAATTTAACAGGCAAAGGGGACCTGTTCGGAACGGATATCGATGACAGACCTCTCATTGGCTTATCAGCTTTCGACGTCAAGGCCCTGACTTATTGTGAACTTCAATTTATTGTTCTTGACCATACGTTATTTGACGTGCTAAATCTATATCCAGCCTACCTGGTCGAATTTGCCAGTGCTCTACACGATGAACTGTCATTCAACATCAAGGAAGGCTTTGATCCGGTGGGTTCCTTTTGAAAATAGTGCTCCTGACAAAATTGTTTCACAACTAAGTCGGACCCTGCAACTGCACTTTTGAAACATCCGGTTTTATTTCCTCAAGCAATTTTTAAATCTTTATGGGGTGTGGACAAACTCCAAGCTCTTATAAAAAACGATTGCTGAATTTGCTCCATTTGTCAAATGGTATAATTGTTAAGTAAACAATTCCATACATATTTCACATGTAAGTTGGAGATTTAACAGCAATGAAATGCGAATTTTAACAAATATAATTTCTACAAAAAGAACATTAGATGGTTAAATTACTTACAATTATTGAATGGTAATTAATCCCGGCATTTGGTGTTAGTTTGCATAAATGTTGTACGCCGATATAGATACTTTTCTGCAAAGGCCATCTAATGCAATTTCATATCTGTGCTTCTGTTATAATTATAATAAAAGTACTTCGTTTACGCTGACTTAATATTGTTAAATACTTATCATCGGCGTAAGATCTACCGTTATATCCTTACGGCAAGTGGTTCAAGCTCCAACCCTGCCCGTGCGTTTTATTGAGGCTATGAACATTTGCCCTGAGCCCAAGCCAGAAAATGCCCTCGGATTAAAGTACGATTTAAAATGTGCCATTTTATCAAATAGAGCTACTTTTATTGCCGCTTTTTGAAGGATTATATGATGTAAAAGTTAGGAGTTCTCAACTTCGCAAATTAACTTTAACGAACGAACAGATTGGTGCAAATTAGATTGCTTATACGACAGATGCAGTACTATAAAAGTGTTCTGATCTTTGATGCCAGCTCCTTCTTGTAGAGTATTGGTGGTCCTTAAGCCTCAAGTAATAAGCTGCAACTATAGAGTTAGTCGCGTTAAACGTAGGTGTATGACTGAACAGTATGCTACTTACCCCAGCAAATGTAGGATCCTATATTTTGATTTTATGAAGTCAGATTTTATTACAAAATAATGGGAGAAGTTAAAAAACTTAATGCAAAAGACATTTTAGAATATGCCTTGAAATTAGTTTTTTCTTTGGTCGATATTAAGTTCTTCTGTGCTCCCTAGGCAAGCGATAATTTAAAAAAAGTTAAAAAGGTTCATCTAAATCGGCAGCGACAGCAAACATCTGAGATATTTCACGAAACCAACTACGCAAGAGAAAAAACATAAAAAACCGGAGTATGATTTATGTTCTGCCAAATTCTTTCAGTAAAAAAATTGAACAGAGGCGACTGTCAAAAGCAAAAAATGTGTTCAAAATGCTCAATGGCTTTTACGCTTGAGTTTGTCACAAGCAAAAAGGTCGTTTTAAAAACTCACTGGCGAATGACGCATTCTTCTATAGTCTCTGCCTTATCACTTACATTAACTGAAGTGTGTTGTACATCCTTGTGAAAGAAGGCAAATTTCAAACATACTTTAAATAACGTCTTTCAAGAGCGCATAACGAACTTAATCGACCTCCCATAATAATAATATAGAGTACAGGATGTAGAGTTGAACCGCATCGTTGGTTTAGTTTTTGGACGGCCGAGGAACATGAAATTGATTTCCTTTGTCATAAGTGGGCTCCGGAACATCTATTTGGCCACTCTTTACGAAATATCATGAGCTTTTTTAGGGATTAGCAATGCTTTGCTAACATTCGCATTTCGTTCTTGTGCTTTTCCTAACGGGGGGGTTATTTGCTGATATCCAACTAATTCTATAAATGTTCGACATGACATTAAAGCGCGTTCAGACAACAAAGCTTATTTGCTTAATAATAGAAAATGCGCTAAATCATGGGGGACAGGAAGTAGAGGATAAATGAATTATCGCAAAAATATGAAAGAACATAGAGAGACCTGGAATGTTTTGCTTTGCAGAGTGCTCTTCAATATCTTGGAGTTGTGAACATTTGGTCTGCTCTAGCAGATTCAGTGTCCAAACTGGTAATATTTCATACACGTTTTCCAAACCAGTGTGTTTTTTTACCAATTCGGCTTTGCGGTTCGCGGCCTAATTTTACATAACTTCGCTATTTTTGAATTTTCACAAATGATCGCGTTCATATGAAAGTTTTTCAAAACCTTTGAATTTTTGATCATGGGGTGAAACTAAAAATGGTCAGCCGAAGCATCGCTTGGATACGACCCTTATACCTGAAAACTTTAAAGTGACGAGATATTTTTATTATTCAGCTCTCCAGGGAAGGCGTTACTACCTTTGCTGCCATAACGAAGACCGTATCACCGGAGCCAGATGCCGCTGTTGAAGCTGGACTCTGTCACTCGAACGATATCAGGACGCCGTCGCCTGTAACGATCTCTACTATATCAATGCCCAACCGCTGCCATTCCACGCCCTGTGGGCCTACAAACATTTCCATGCACGGAAAACTGGAAAGGCTATTGAGCTATGACAGTTGTCTTGAAAGAACCACAACTGGCCAGTCGGTTTCTAATAGAAGAAAATCACTGTTAAATTCTCCAAATAAAGTCCAGTGGTCCATAAGTGAGGCGACAAGCCAACAAGAATCCGAAGATGAAGGAGAGATGGCAAGACAGAGTATGACAAAGGACAGTGAGGCAAAAGTTGCCAGACCAGGTGAAAATGCTTTGGAGACAGAAAAACAACGGGCGAAAGGGCAGGTTGTAGAAGTCGTCTCGGGAGAACAAACCAGCCAGAAGGGAAAAAAGGCTCTCTTTGCCGGGGGCAAAAATCAAATGTCCTTTGACTCCCGATTTTCGCGCACGGGAACTTCGCCGAGAGAAAAGACGGCCCCTCATACTTTTAAAAGTTCATTCTGTCCATTCGAAGTCTTACAGGAACGGTATGCGAAGCGTTCGCTAATTTTTTTAATACCCGTATAATTTACCATTGGCAATATAAACGCTTGATTATTTTAGTTCGAATTTCGACATATAATCACGAAAATAAAACAATACTGATTAATCATTGCCTTAACCACACGGGTATTGCAGAGCTTAGAGGGATTAATAAAGATTTGCAATTGTATTATTTCAAGTCTAATTTGAATAGCTGTCATTTTAGCCGTAAAGCTTCCCCCACAAATCGCAACCGCTCTTAAATATGTCTCAGCAGAAATGGCGCGATTTATTCTTCGTAGAATGTAGTGTGTTAAAGATCTCACTTTCCAGACAAGAGTCTGCATCATCGTGGCATGCTTTATTTAAACCGTTTGTGCCACATCCTCTAGAGCTCTTATGTCATTGGGTAATGTTACCAGGAAACGGTTCCAAACAAATAAAATGTAAGCGTTCCAAAATAATTGAACTTTAGTTAATTTTTAAGATCCGGCAACCAAATCAGTGTTTATAAAAGCAACAGGAGAAGCAGAAAAAAATTTTATATGACAGGCATTCGCATGTTTTACTTAGTGACGCCGTGGAGAAGTTTGTATTGTGGAGCTGTTAAAGGATTAAAACTCTAAAAGGAAGTATAACTCAAGATTTATAAGTGAAATTCTAATTATCCGATTTTGCATTTTCTGTCGCATGGAATATCAATAAGACTGCGGAGTAATTTTTGCTTGCGAAACAATGGAAGTTTCGGATATTAGTTATGAGGAACTTACCATATGTTCAAACCAAATAATCGATAGTAACCAACCTTGATGTCCCTGAAATAACAAGGAATTGCATTTTTTCTTTATTTCTGACCTTTTTATAGGGGTTATTTCAAAGACTGCTACTACAACATGCTATGCACAATATGTTCGCATTTTTAATTGTCATATAAACTTTTCCTCTTTTTGTCAATCCCTGCGTAAGACTGTTTTTTTCTTCTAGTAGAAATCACAATAAAAGTCACGAAGAAGCAACAAATATGCGGAGCAGTAAATCCAATCAAGTAGTTTTGCCAGTGCATTTGCAGCGCAGCCCTCTTACACTACAGCCACCTATTCGGTCTTATGCCAATGTGCCAAAGCAATCGCTGGGACATCACCTATCATCTGTACACCCATCATTCACTCACATTTAACGCAACAATCATGCGCCTGTGTGTACCAGCCTTGTCAGTGACGGACGACAACTTCGGCTTGGATGGAGGCTTACATGTGTCGCTGGTTAGACAGAGGCTTCGTGCCACGTCGGTCTTTAGGCCAAATCTCATCACCACTCGGCTTACAAGTTTGGACGCGAAAAGGCTTGCAGCCGCCTGTCCTTAGTAGAGAAAATGTGACACGCTTAAACTATCAGGAGGCCTTATAAGCCCTGCTCGAAAAGTTGTAGGCTTGGGGGGGACAGGGTGGGGGGTGTAACTCGGTCTCTTTTGTAGGGAAGACCAGATCACTTCTCACGTTGGTAACATCGGAGCCCTTCATAGCACGCCCTACTAGCCATTGCGTACTCGTACAGGTCACTGGGGAATAACGGGGAATGAGGCTGATCTAACGCTAAATTTCCTTGCTATGTACGACCAGACGCGCCTTCACTCAGAACTTGGAAGTCTGCCAGCTGACGCGACGGCTCGTCCCTACTCGGGACCTAGTAGGGGGCTGCACATTCCTCCTTCTTAGTGTTGCCTTTATGTGATTTTCACCTATCTGAATCTGAAACCCTCGTATTGAAGCCTGGCGCAGATCGTAAGTGATCGTCATTGATTGGTCTTGTTAGCGATTGCGTCCATGTCCACCTCCAATTGCCTTCACAGCGAAACATTCTGGGTGGGGGACTACTTGAATGTCCTGATGGGGCAGTTGCTACAGACGCCGTAACATGAATCACATTTCGCAAGGTCCTGAGTGTTAATGGACATTCAAGTGCGTTTGTCCAGGGAGACGGAAAAGCGGCTTTTCTAGATAGGACCTTTATTTGAATAGGCAAAAAATTGTTTTACGTTTGCGATGTATAATGGTTTCATAGTCACTATTAGTAAAAACTGGCAAATGGACACCACTTGATTGGCCACAATTTATGCTGTAATGTATATTTGCCGATTTCATCAGAAAACCTAGAGTTTACTGTATAAGTAGGCGGAGACTGCGTAAGCATTTACTTAAATTTACCAAAAATCATACAGATTCTTGGTGTCATTTTTATAAAATAATGGTGTTTTTATTAGAGTTTCGCCACCTTATGCCCATACTTTCAGCTCGTATTCATTTGGCTTCAAAAGGAACTAACTGAGTTAATTAGGCATTCTAAATTTTGTATGTAGGATCCATTTCAGGAGCAGTATTGATGTTTAAGCTCGTCTGTGCCGGAAAAGGTTTCAGTTATGATCCTATTCGGCAATCCGAATATTCAGAATTCTTGCATTTCCCTACATTTATAAACCAACTCATCTAATATTGATGTTTTTAGCTAAGTCCCCATATGGTTTATTTTAAGAAAACTGAACGTCACTCAGTGAAATTCCTAAGGTTTTGCCTCCTTGGCGAGGCATAAGTCATAAACAACAGCCATCACACTAAAATATCTTGTCCTGGGATCATACGATTCAGGCATAAAATACGATTATCCGGTAGGCGCGCGTACATAATCAGGGCTCATATTCGTCCGCAAGGAATGAACAAATGCTGCCGCTGAAAGCACAGACAATTCGACTTGATTTGTACGTACTCTATAACGCAGTTATCTAATAAATCCCAGTCAAATTAAAAGCCGGGCAAAGGTTTACGTCGTTTCTAATATGTGATAGAATCCGCCGTTTAGTTTCAAATACCTTATATCACCAGGTTAATTTGAAGTTTACGAGGAATATTTCTTCTCAACTGCATGTTTGCTGAATTGCATACTATATATGGTACCGTCTTTAAAACCCTTATCTCCTTGTAGAGGATCGGATGAAGCTGAATCATTACCAAAATGTACAAACCAAAGAAACGTCGACGAGGCGGCAGTTGTTCCTTCAATTAACAACGATGACAGCAAGGAAGCCATTAATGCTGAATTAAAAGACATTCTTTTGCTTATCGCACGCGACATACATTCCCTGAGATCTGAGGTTCGGTCACTTTCCAACGAAATTTCTGATCTGAAAAGAGGTCTTGTCACCACACCAACACTAGTAGGATCAGCCCAGTCGGAACGACAAAGGACGCCAAAGAGTCAGTCTGTACACAGTGGCATAATAAAAGCCTCCACCATAGGCTGCTTTGGCGAGGAATATCAATGCACACAGTTTTCCACCCGCACCTTCTCAGATGACACGGCTGTCCTTGCTCATTCAACAGCCGGAAAACTCAGATCGACGCCTCCCCCACGACAAAGTGAATGTAAGAACTTCGTTAAAGGCGCTAACGACTCTCTTTACGCTAAGGACCAGATGCCTCCAAATTTTCACGAAAGTCGCAGCGTTAAGTTTCATTTGCCTGTAAAGCATGGGTGTCATGAACATCACAAGTTTCGCCGAGATAATTGTGAATCCGGTCCACTCTTTATCTCTTCCTCCTCAGAGGCAGCAGAGCAAATCTCCCTGGCTGAAGGTCTTGACTCTCGCTCTTCTGTCGAGCGTGACAGTGAGGCTAATTCAGTCACGCACTGCAAGTAGGATACTTCTACAACACGGGCATTCCACTAGCGAAAAAGCAAAAAAATGTAAATACAATGGCAAATCGCCTGAAAGAGAAGGTTTCCCTCCTCTTGGCAGAATTATGCAAAAGGCTCATCAACTCTTCATATCAATATGTTCACTTGCTTCAAAGCAGTTGACAGGAAAAACTAGATAAGCCTACAGACAAGAGTCTCTGAAAAGCACTTCAGTTGCAACAGAGTTTGGAATATTTGCAATAATCTCGGACGCGCCTTACTGCTCAATTTTATGAAGTGCGGAATAAACGTGTCATGACTGATTTGAATAAGCCTCGGGAATATGGTGCGACAAACAGCTTGGAACGTTTTAGCGAAACGTGCGGTTTTGCTTGCATTTATAAATCGGACAACTTTTGTGCAGATGTAAAAATATTTTCAGCAACTCTGAATAAACAATTACTTTTATCTTTTTATTTCGGCGCAGAGCTGAGGGAACGTGTCCTCCACTCTAATTGCCTTTGCATTCGAACGCTGATCACGAGTGTTCCTCATCAACTGTGATGTTCGAATACAAAGTCTTACATTTAAAACACCTAACTTATGGTGCTTAGTTCCTAAGACAACTCAAAAACCTGTTGTACCTATTCGACAATGGTATTTTTGATAGTGATTAGTCCTTTTTACCCACTAAATAACGTCTTAATCAGCCCTTATGGGGGGATTTTCCATTACTTTCACCAATTTTGGAAACAAATACTTTTTCATGTGCAGATACATAAGGTAATCCGTTAAAGACACAATAAGTGTTTACGGTCCTTCAAATGTCCCATAATTATGTCTATGTTATCGGCAAAATTTTGAAGTTGACAACGTGTTCTTACGTTGAATATTCCATCATTTGGTGTAAAACGACTTCCAAAATCTTTCCGACGGTAGTGACATTCGGATTACTGCACCAATAAAAAGCAGTGGTCGACGATCAACATCCACTGAAATTCTGACATCTTAAGGAACCGTCGATGCTTATAGATTTGATGGTGTAATGGAACCAGGGGTTTTGGCTGATGAAACGTAACTCGTTTGCAAATGTTGCCCGTTGCTCGAAGCATAAGGGATGAAGAAATGTTTTCTCTCAGTGGGCAACAGATAAATTACGTAAAAGGAGCAGCGTGTTTCTAAAACATGTTTTTATCTTCTGAATGCAAGTGTAAACTATCGTTTGAACTTTGCATAAATATCCAAAAGAGCAGACAAACTAAATCCTGAAGTATGCGCGGAAGAACAAAACCCCTGCCAAATTTGCGTGTATAAACCGACTATATGTGATAGGTAAAAAACTTGTCAACTACTATGACACGCAAAGGAAGTACAAAATTTTAACGTTAATTGGGGTCGATAAAAAAGGTTTTAAATAAGCATAAATGTGGAAATTGAAATATTTCTTATTACTTGTAAACTTATTTCATGGGAGCGCATAATAACTCCCCGCAACTGAGGAAATATAACTGCAAATGCAGAAAGACGTTCGAAACTCGGCATAAAAAGGCCATATCTAAGTATGTTTCAAAGCTTGATACAGTATACAGTCAGCTAGTCGATTCCTACACAGATTGCTGAAAGATACGGAAGATGTGGAGTCAACATGTTTCATCTTTGACATTGGACTGTAGGTTATGGCCATGGATAAAGAGGGTGGTAATCGACTTTTCTTAGGTATCCGCAATCTGGTTGGTCACGAAATATTCTTTGAAGATGCAATCATAAAAATGGCAGATTCAGTGTTAGTAAATCTTTTTGGTAAATTAATTACCCTGTACTTTCCTGGGGACGTCAACCTTATCGGAATTTCATGTCATTTATAAAACATAGGTGAACACTTTGCATCAGAGTGTTTGATAAATTGTTTGAAAGAGCGACCCAAAATTTTGCGTCAGTAAAGCCGTCCAAAACTAGGACTTTGGAAGTTTCTATTTTTGTAGCGAGCACTAAGCGTTATATATTCTGTAGATCGCGGATTTGGTTATACGTGTAGTTCCACCTAAACAAAAAAGGATTCAACAAAAATAATAGAAATTCGCACAGTTGGCGTGCTGGCAATCGGTTTTTGATCAAATAGAAGATTTCTTTTGAAACTCTTTTTCTTAGAATCGTCCGAGTTTGAGTGCGTTGCACGTGAACATCTAGATTATTTTTTTCATCCAAAATGAAACTTTTTTCCACTTTGCACATTCCCTGACTGGTGCTGACAGCATTTGCTTTACAGACAAACATGAATTCATTAAATATAAATGTGCTGCAGAAGGGCCACGTAACTTTTAGGGTACGTTTCCAATCGCCACCGAGATTTTCTTCACTGAATTTCATTTTGTATGAAATCGAGCAGCCAAAGCTCTCTTTTTAACTAGTTGAAATTAAACTTGCCTATTTAATGACGAAACGTTGCTGGAATATCACGAGAAAACTTTCACTTGATCAGAAAATACGTATGTGACGAAACGTTTGTCGTTAGAATTACTTTTTCTGTTTTGGGGCAAAAGCTGTGCACATTTGCGGAGCGCAATTTTAAGTATGAGTGACTTCTATACATCGATGTAAGAACGACAAACGCCTTGAAGCACATCGACTTAATCGCGGGTTTCTAAATATAGTAACAGTTTGCGCTTCCTTAGATGGCACGAAGAGCGGCGGCTATTTGTTTCTCCATATCAACTATTTCGCTACTTAATTAACGGACCTTATTGTCAACTCACTGGGCTTTTTTATGCAGGAGTGACAGAACATTTAATCATGCGTTTACTCAAATTCAGCAAGTACAGACTTAGATATGTTTGCTTTTATCATCCTCCTCTTTCCTTGCATAATGTTCTGCCATCTCTTTTGGTCCCAACTGGCCAGGTCTAATTTTTTCATGTTATATAAAATTCGTTCGCATGGCCGCTGCGCATTATGATTTTTGCGGACCGAAACCAAAGTTGGCTTTGACATTTAATAAACTGTTGACGGGCAGAGCTGTAAATTGCAGTTTTGAAGGCCAAAACAGCTATGTGCAAATTTAAAATATAGTTAATGACCGGAAACCTTATTCGAGTTGTAGGAGAGATCGACTTGCATGTACTTATATGTCCATATTAAGAAAAAACAAGATAACTTAAGTATCAAGAAGAGGACCAACAATGCGTGACCGATATCATGAAACGTTCACCAAAACTCTAAAATGCGTTTTCCATTAGAAAGGATAATTTAAGTGGTGTTGTGATATGGATCTGCATGGAGCAAAATCCTTTAGTAGTTCAAACGTGCCAGGATGTCAGCTTTCGAAGGCGCTTGTTTTTGACCCGCAGAAACCGCACTTAGTAAAAAAATGACTACTGAAGTAGCACGCATTTTTCCTGTTGATGTTCGACGGTCCTATAAATTCAAACGCATTTTATAGAAAACATGCACAAAAATATGCTTTCGTTTACTCCTTTGGTAGAAAATCACACTGTATTTGTAATTTATACAAAAATGTTTTACAAATTTTCCCAATTTTCGAATAATTTTGGGTCCGATCTCCCATTGCATTAGCATTTAGCGATCTCAGTCTACAAGGTGCACGATTTCCGCGTAGGGAAAATCATATATTCCTTTATGCCTTTAAGAAGATTCCATATAAAGTTCATGAAACTGGGCAATGGATCCAGACTGCGTTGTACATTTTATGAGAAGCATCGGTAAACGAACAAGTGCGGTCTTGTATGCGTGGACATCGCACAGTCTTAGAAATCCCATAGTTATAAATTTTTTTCAAACTTAATTATGCACATTTCTCGGGTATAAAATATGGAGACAATGGGATTTTCTACCAAACGAGTAAAAGAAAGCAAATTTTGTGCATTATTCTGTAAAATGTGTTTCAATTTATAGGACCATCGAAAATCAACAGGAAAAATACATGCTACTTCAGTAGCCATTTTTTACTGAGCGCGGTTTCTGCAGGTCAAAAAGAAGCGCTTTCGAAAGCTGACATCCTGGCAAGTCCGAAATACTAAAGGACTACGCTGCATGCTAATTTATCTCACCACACCACCTAAGTAATCCCCACTAATTGAAAACGCATTACAGAAGTTTGGTAAACATTTCGTGAGCCTGGTCACGCACTGTACCTTTCAAAACATTATAACAAATTCGTTTACAGTGGCACACTTGTCGAAAATTTTACGACTTCTTTGATGAAAAACAAAGTAATGTGTTAAGAAACCACAGAGCAATGACTGAAGTTTTTGCACACCTTGAATGTGAAGGTACTTTAAGAGCAGGTCTAATAACAAACATCACCTATGCAAAATTTAACCTTCCATGCATACTAGCGAAGTGTGCAAAGCCTGATTTTGGCTTAAAGTATTACTGATTTTTAATACTACAGTATATGTAAGAGTCCACTAACAAAAGTTCCTTTACTGTTTTTCTACCCTTTTAGGCTTTTGCTCGACTAAGTGCATTTGCATGAGAGAATTCAGAAAAGCGGAAGTGCAACCTTCGTGCACGCGAAAAGCATCCGGAGACTGTCGCAGCTTTATTTTTACTTAAATTTAAGCTCAAATTTTATAAGCGCAGAATATGGCACTACCTAGGAATTTTGCGCCAAACTTTAAAAACGAAGGTTACTATTATTGACTAAGTTTTGGAAGGATAGGAGAAAAGCAGAGACCTCCTCTTTGCAAGCTAGAAGATAGTCTGAAGGAAGGTAAGAACTCCCTTATAAAATAAACGTGAGCTTTTGAATATTTTTCATTTGAAAAAATGTATGGCTAAATCGAAACTAAAGAATCAAACTGATGGTAGAGGGGCGCATACTGATCGTTCTTACGGATTTCACTTGTTCCATTGTGTCTTACGAGCTCTCTTTCTCTTGTCTTTGTCGATAAAAACATTCTGTCTAAATCAAACTATTACCTTTATGGAAGGTGATGGGCATTAAGGCAACAGTTACTTTCTGCATGAAGAACCTTCGATATAGACAGAGGGAGGAATCCTAATTCCATGTTGTCGTCAGGTTTCTGTATGTTGGTGGGGAGGTCGCCTAATGAAATGATGAGTTGTCGATATGTGCATCCAGCTGTGCAAAGCCATTAATACTGTCTAAGGTATAGTTAAAGGCTTTAAATAAATTTACATTCGTTGTCCCAGCATCGTTGATCCTAGCCATTTCGATTCCTCGATAACAGTATGGGAATTGCAGCCCGCAGACCGACGGTTTCCTCTTGGCCACTTCCACGGATTATGCAGGAAAAAGAAAGTAGAGTGAAAAGTCGCATGATCGTGACTCTTTTTTCTCGCAAAATGGCCTTATCATTATAGTAAAAAGACAACTTTTCCTAAAACATGTGACTCCGTCATGATCCGTAATATAAAAGCTACTCTTTAGAAAGTTCTATGATCGGGGAAAATGGTGGCCGTTAATCACACCATTAGAGGAAAGTCCGTTTATCTCAGCTGCAGCAGTAAGAGGCTGCAATAAGAGTGCTTTGTCCTACTTGTTAGCTGAGGGTTTTGGAGGACTGTGGAGGCCATCTGCCTAGGTTTTCTGCAATGTAATCCTATATCCTACCTTTAACTGAATGCCGTCACTGCAGTGATGCCTCTGAAATTTCCAAATAACGCTCACCAAATGTCCTTTTAACGATATCAAATCATTGAACCCCATGATGAATATCGGTACTGTCGTTTTCTACTTTCACAGACATAACTCGCAGTGAGTTAGGTTGACCTGTCGCCCCTGCTTCAAAATCCCAAAAAGTCGACAGCAGCGAGTCATCCGCTTTTGTACGCGACCGCTGCGGACAAACCAACCACACTTTTTCTTAATCCTCTTGTTCCCTATCCACTCGGCCTAATGATTCTACCAGGGAACATTCCAAGTTTATCTTGAATAAGACGAATAATTGATCACTGTCTCGGATAACGTAAAGTTAACGGCCATATAGGGATGCTTAACGATATTTTGCACGTAGCCACAAGCCTGTAACTGTGAGCTTGATGATCTTATCTAAAATAATAATACCATGAATCCCGATCCAGCATATGTATCTATTTTCAAAAAAATTATTGCCACGCATTAAAGAACAAGGGCTTTTAATTCGTATTCCAAGGATAAGATGGTCCAAAAACAAAACCGAAATTCAGAAGGAAAACATACGGACTCAGGCCTTTGGAGCTCCTTCTCTCTAGCACAATATTTCGATGACGGATTTTTATTGAAAACCAGAATTTTAAAATCCGGTAAGACACGAAGGAACTTAAACAGCCGCATTGTCCTTTTAGATGATGTTTAAAAGCCAGAAACTATCATGAAGTAAATAACAGGGTTAAGGTAAAATAAAGTTAAGCTATGACTGAAGAAAAATACTTCCCCAGCGCTAGGAAAGTGAAGGTTCTTATGTTGCAAGAGGGCCTTGTTTGTGCGCGTTTCTTTCGTTCATGTAAAATTCTAATGCATATTTTAAGCTTTCATGTGCGCCAATGATCACTAACCAAAATGCAGTACTTATACTTTGTTAGCAAAGCGAACACAGTTTGACAAATTGCAACTTTTGAAGTTGCACAACATCCATTTTACTCACGTTCTCCTGTTGAAAGGAATTTAATGTTCTATTAAAATGACTTTCCAGTTTAGCCCCTCATTCAAAAAACCGAGTCAAAATTTAGCTTCCTTGTCGGCTTCAAAAACTATAGCACTTTTGAAATGAATAAATGCGAAATATGGATGTTCGTCACTTCGTATTGACCTTCAATACGAACATGACGATGGTAATGCATCAACAGCCATCGACCACTGAATACATTGTCTCTCGCATTCGCGTCAACCGCAGCGAAATGAAGCCTGTAGATAACTGTAACTGCCTAGGTATCAAAATGTCACGTTGCATCGGAATCGACGACGAAGTGGCCCATCAGACCTCTAAAGCCGGCCAAACTTTCGGCCGGCTGCAGAACTCCGTATGGAATCGTCGCAGCCTTTAACTGAAACACCAAACTGGAGATGTGCAAGACCGTCGTGGCGCCAATTGTGTACAGAGCAAAGACCTAGTCAAACTACTCAAGCCATGGTAGGAAGCTTAATCATTTCCATCTCAGAAGCCTCGCACAATACTGAAGCTGAGATGGCAGGACAGGATCCGGACACGAAATTCCTGGAACGGACCGGAGTCCTCAGCATCCACGCCATTCTGAGGCAACTGCAACTGCGATGGGGCGGCAATGTGGTGAGAATGGACGACGCTCGCCTACCAAAACAACTTTTCTATGGAGATGTCGCCACAGGCGTTCGCCGACCGGAATAAACAAAACGATTCTATAAGGACACTCTAAAGAACTATTTTAAAAGACTGTAGATCAACCCGGAGACCTGTGAGGACCTCGTTCGAGACAGACTGACCTGGAGAAGAGAAGTGAAGACTAATGCAGCTATCTACGAAGCAAACCGGATCGTCGCACCCATAGTCAGAAGGGAGGTTTGCAAGTCTCAGGCACTTTCTATTCGTAGCATCATCACTCCATTCCGCTTTAGGTGTCTGCGCTGTCGACGGACATTTCGCACGTGGATCGGCCTCGTCCGTCATCTTCGGACCCTCTTCATCAACCGTCCGACGACTGCAACCGTTGTCTTTTCGATCTCGCATGCTCTAACCTCCATGTCGGCCACATCGGCGCCCACCTGTCGAAAACAACCACCTTTTCCACCACTGTCAACGACCAAAACGCTCCTGACGTCCCGACAACAGTCCACACATTCATCGCCACTCCCCTCCCCTCGCCTCCAATGACGCGACCTCGAGTCATACCTTCAATCTTTGCGATCACACATTCACATCAAACATCAGCTTGTTCGGTCACTTACGGACCCATCGCGCAAAGGCTGACGAGCCAGTGCCTATGGCATTAGCCTGCACTCACCGCTTCCTCCTCCACTGCCCTCACTGTCCCCGCACGTTTAATCACCGCATGGGCCTATTTGACCACATGGATGTCCACAGAAGTGGAATTAACCGCGATATCAACACACCTAGAACATTTTGCACACTCAACATTCCTAGTTCATCGGACGCCTCATCGTCCAATGCGCCAATACCAGAGGCCGCACTACCACCATCACCATTATAACCGACTCTGATGCTCGGACTTATCCCGCCCACACTGACCCCGCACATTCACCTCTCACATCGGTCTGGTCAGGCACCTGCGGATCCGTCACTCAGACAAAGGTGAACCAATGCCTGGAGCACCAACATATACCAGACGCTTTCGCCTCAACTGTTCGCGCTGTCTTCGTACATTCAGCCACCGCATGGGCCTGCTAGGCCATATGCACATTCACGAGAACCTGCGGTAGACAACCGCCGGCTACACCACATCATCACGCCTTTCCCCACCAGCACTTACGCCAGAGCACAATGCAAGCACGCAATCGGCATCTCTCATTTAACTGGGAACTGCTCTTCTCGGCTCCTTCTCCATGCGGTTCCTCTGCTGCATGCGATATCCGAGTCTGAGAATACCACGGTACGCCAAGCGCCGTGGCTCGGAAGGCTGCCGACTCTTGTCCTACTTCCGTCCACGCAGTCTGCCTAGCTGTGTGTGTTTGGGTGGAGAGACGCACTAGTAGGCTGGGCGTCAGTCTACAGCGACGCACGTGAGGAGTTTGTGCCTCCTAGTCGAGGACCGGTTGGTTACCCAGCCATTGAAGAGTGATGACCCATGCAAATGTAAGCCTGCGTCTCACCCTTATGGGCCTCAAAGATTGTCTGTTATGCCAGGATCAGCAAGCCACGGTCCTTGCAGTGTGTTTTGAGCTGACAGTTTTATGGCATCTGGTTCCCTGCAGGTAGATGTGCTCGCGCACCCGCTGGGTATACAGGTCGTGTACATGTCTTCCCAGTCCTTCTCTCCCTTCTGACCAGTTATGGCGTTGCCGTTGTTGATTAAAATCCCATTCAAGTGTTTTTTTGTGAGTCAGGGGATGTGGTGATACACCTGGGTACGGGTCCGGCCGTGCCAGCCACCAGTGCCCTCCCTCACCCGCAGTCATATTAACTGTGTCGACACTGGCCCCAAGTGGGGAGAGAGAGAGAGAGAGTGCGGTAGATGGTGCACAAGTCACCATGTTTGCCTCATCTTGCTAATGAGCACACGGTGGACATCGCCTGGCACGACGGCCGAACTATCATAGTAGTAAAGAATATATAGTCCATTCTTCTTGGCGTGGACCCCGGTTTTTAGATTTTTTAATGCTTTAGACATCATCTAAATAGTTTGTATTTTCCCAACGGAGCAAATTATCAAGAATATTTGTCTACACGAAGGCCATACCAAGTTAATCTATCTTTAATTAACAGGCAAAGGGACCCCACTGTCGCTATGATCGTTGGATTTCCCGTTAATGAGGGCAATGCATTAGAAAACATTTGGTAGGCACGTTTAACCGTCAGGTGATTAAATTGAAGTTTTTCTGTAATACACTTATATATTTGCTGTGCTTGATGCTTACTGAGTCTGTCTGGAGCGTTTTCTATCCGAATCTTGCAGATAAG